CGATTGGAAAATATTCCGTAAGAGTTCGTCACCTTATCTCCAGAATTCTAAGACTATAATCGATTAATTGCGATAATTCACTATCGATACTTTCTTTTCCTGTGGAAAATTTACAAACAGCTTTCGTTTCTTCGACGCTCGTCGATGAATATTCCCGCCAAGCCGAGAAACGAGATTCGAACTCAAGCAACATTCTTCCTCGACCGGAAGCTGTTAACAATGCCATTAGCAGTTGCGTTTCGCGCCGAGTCTTCCTTCATCGTTCGCGCGAGCGCGCGTCGAGTCGAGTGTTAAACCGACTTAATCGACCTTTTTATCCTAACGGTAACGTCAAGGACGTCCCTCTATTCTTCCTTGCACCGGTACATTAAATTGCGATTATCGCGCAAACCGGTCGTCCGAACGAATGCTGATTCCGTTTCCATGGAATCTGGGACATCAAAAGCACAGAAGAGAGCGGGCCAACGCGGACAGGAAGAGGTGCAACTATAATCAACCAACCAACGCAACGCGTCTGTCTTCTACCGATTCGAGATCACCGATCCGCCCCACATATATTTTTTCTGACGTTAAACGGAACTGCCAGGTTCCGAACACGAATACCTTGATTAAGATATACATTCCGACGTGGAACCTGCTCACATCTGATTTTAACGTGCAGCCAGCTTGAAATTCACGGATGTATAAGTACCTCCTATTTGTTGCGAATTTAAAGGGTCGATCACGATACATCCTCGTGACTGGGAATTTCCGAGTGGGAGAAAAACCAGTCGTGTTCCATGGATGGACAGAAGAAATCCTCCTCTTGTGTGATTACTCACTTAGCAGCTTTCATTTGAGTTTCTATCAATGCAATCGGTGACTTTCGAACTCCAGTCCCGAGTTTTCAACGGATATCTCACATATCGCAGCCAGTAATTGCTATTTAACCTCGAAGAGAGCCTGAAACCCAATCCTTGTTGCTGCAATTTTTTTTTTTTTATCTGTTACGTGGTTCGAGCATGTTTCGTTGAAACGGTAATCGGTACGTTTAAGACTCGTGACGTGATAACAAAATAGAAATTGGCTCGTGAGCCAACACGAGTTTGACGCGACTGGCTTCAAAGAACCAGAAGACGAGAAGAAACCTAAATTAAGAGTTTAATCGCTATCGTTGGAGCACATTCTCGCGACAGGGTTCGCATTGCAAAGTAGCTGTGCAAAAAATTCAGCGCTAAATAAGGAAGCAGTAGGAACTACGAAAATCGCTTCTCCAACAAACCGTCCAACTTTTTTCGCGCTCGATACGAGACAGTTTGTACAAGAAAGTAAACGTTCGCAGAGGAAGTTGGGAGGCCCTGGCGTGACCCAAATGTGTCCCGTTCGCGCGAGGAATCCGCGACCGTACGAGGAGAAGTCCTGTTACCTTGGTACCAATATGTTAATTCAAAAGTAATAAGGTATTTAGCGAGGCCTCCTTCTCGATCCGGTCCAAACAACTGGCCGAACGATGACTCCGGTGTGCGAGCCAGATGAAATTTAAATGGTGAAAGTCTACCCAATATCGTGCTCGAAAACGTTGGTCCTGGAATGCCACACGAAGGAAAAGATCGGTTCGGAATCTTTATGTATGGTGAAATTCGATAGAGCCCTGTATTCTGAATAGCGTTGCTAATAAAAGTTGTACGAGGAGGACGTAACGCGATGATAATAAATTTCTTTGTAGGTGGATCCGTGCAGGAGATTCGAAGGTAAACAAGTCATAAATGTAAATGGTAGTAAATCATGAAACCTTTCGGATCCTGACTTCGCCAAATTGCTTCCTGATTTGACTCGAATTTCCGGTTTCTTTGGCGTCTGTCGCCATTGACAATTTATTGTCGCGCTTAACAGGATAGTTAACGATAGAAACATTATTGGTCCTGTCTTTGAATAAAACATTTTTTCGCAATAATGTTTCATGTAACACATTTTTGTGCTCGCACTTTCAACTTTCGATGTTAATAAAGGTGTCTTTTACAATCGATTATTATGCGTGCGTGCTTATGCAAGCGGCGTTGCGTGTGGAATACCACGCGCTACGGAAAGCAACGGATTCGAAGCAGAGTTTACGATGATTTTACATAACCGTGCGAATTGCAATTGCAAATCGATCAATTTTCCAGTTTAAAACATCGTATTTCTTCGCTACAGCTATCGAGACTTGTTTCTTGCGTTTCTGTTTTACTAGGTTGACGACCACCTAGAAACTCCCGAGTGATATCGAGAAACCCCACTGACTCAGATTTCACCCAATATCATAGGTCCCTGGTCGATCGGTATCGGTTATGTGTGCACGTGATTTATGACAAAACCGACGACCAATGGCGCCGGCACTTTATTGCTTCGTCCGAACCCTGATCCTCTCGGGAACAATGGCTCGTATTACCCCCAAGCGTACCCTCGGTAAACAGAGGTATGCAATTCAAACCGGGGGCCGACAAACTACAACAGGCCAGATCAAATTTAATTATTCGTAATAAAAATGAATAAAACTGCAGAAAATGCTCATTGAAACATTGCTCGTTCTGCTTTTAGATTCAGCCCACCAAATGTCACAAAAATCTTGGAGAGGACAACTGTCGGATCCCCTTTTGGAAACAAATTCCCCACCTCTTGATCCAGTTATTTTCCCGGTGTTCCTAAACGTTTTGAAATTAACGATTCCACTGCACACAGGACGCAGTGTACCGATGGGGTAGTCCATCGAATCGTTGCACATGCAAGCACAGAGCGTCTCGGTCGCAGGTGAAGTCTTGTGACGTCAGGATCCATTGTTCGACGCAGCATCAGAGTCAGGGCTCGTGGATGTTGTTCGCGGCGCGACCACTGTGCGCCAGTTTTACGAGCCTTTCTTCGTCGAGGAATTCTTTTTCGGTATCCCGGCTGTTTCTTCTGTTCCCTCGTGTTGTAATTCCGCGACTGCGATACGTAAGAACGACCCGAGCAGCGAATAATGAGAGGTTTCTCGGGCGTTGCGCACGCGAAACGAATGAATTATTCGGAAAGGAGGATCCCTTCGATGTCTCGGATGAGAAACTGGACGGAATCGAGTTTAGAGTCGACGAACAGGTCGTGCGACAATTCCGAAATGTCCCTGTAGATCTGCTGGATGGACGAATTACCGAGAGGATTGCGTTACTCGTTTTGTCATTCCGATGAAAGGTGTCCTTGGACCGATGGCGTTATAGGATTAACTTTTTATCTCTACGATAAGGACAGTGCGTATAAATTTCAAGTCCATAATTTAAAATCTTTAAAAATTTATATGTAAAACTTGTTTCTTTTATATCTAGCAAGTAATGTCCAGGAACGATTTTAACAATTCTCGAAACCGATCTTTCAATCACATCCCATTCGTTTCTTCGCCGTCGAAGAACGCAATCGAACGAATCGTTTTCTCCAAACACAAAAAGAGAACGCAGCGAACAAACTATCAATTTGCTAAGGTATTTCTTCTCCCTAACGAATTCGACGAAATCCATTTTTCCCGTAGATAGTTGGACAAATACATCGACGGAATTCCAGTCGTTCGTCTGTCAGCTATCTAGGCTCACCGCGGAACTTTTATTTACGTTCCGTGGACTCGCTCCCAATAGTAGCGAGAATGATCCTTAAAAAAATCCGTAAGCAACGTATCCCGTGGTTTCTGGACCCAGAAAGCGTGCAGGGCCTGACTGGGCCACGATGCATGCATCTACAGCCGGTTCGACTGCATTTCATGGCTACCCATACGTGAACGGTCAGCACACGCTCGTGGTTCTCTCCATACGTGTGCAACACGTACGTACTTTCGATCTCATATGCAAAACACATGGAAACGAACGAGGCGTCTGTAGACCCAGGTTCGGAACGACCAGAGACGAAATCAATTTTGTTCGAACAATAGTCAACGAGCAGGGCTAGCGATCCATCGATCAATTTTTCCGTATCGAAATTTTAGTAACGACTGGCAATTGTTTTAGAAACTATTTTAGTAAAAATCAATCCTCTGTGTGATCAATTTATGGTTTCTTTTCGTTCTTTTCGTTCCTTTCGTTTCGTTTTCTTTATGGAAACATAAGGAAATTGTCGGTTTTCCTCAACATTCCAAAACGTAATTGTGCTCCGAAAACACGTCCCGCCCAGACGATTAAATTCCCATTTAAAAACTCGATACTTTTTAGTAAATCCACGGAGCTAACACGAAATGCACCTGATAACGCGTTCTCTCGGCTGGTAATTACTTCGGTTCAGATATGATAATTTGCGTTAGAGTTTTCTTCTACTCGCGTCTAAACGCTACGCGTTCCCGAGGTAGTTCGTCTTGCCACGAGAGGCTTCAGGACACTTAAGGATACTTAAGATTCCTCCACGGATACGTCTACCTACATACGTGTACACACACTCGTTGGTTGCATTAGCCTAGCGTGATTCGATCCGTACGGAGGCTCACGTAGGAACGTCCGTTCGTCCGTCCTAACCTTCCCTCCTCGGACACGCCTGGAATCACAATTTCAAATGCCCTAACCGATCGCACCCAGTCTACACCATACGGAGCCACGATGGTTTTCTGAACGACGTTGAAATCCATTCATGCTCCGAGCGTTAACTCCGATTCGCTCGAGATTGGATCCTAATTAACAATAGACGTCGGCTCGCGCGTTTCCTGTTTATTTCTTGGACAGAATATCGGACGCAATCTAATTGTAAAAAGAGCTAGGAAAGATTGCAAGGTTTGCTTTCGATGAAACAGGTCCGATAAGAGGCTCCAGCGAAAAAAATTTCGAGCGTAGGGTCGATGACATTAATTCCTAGATGCTTCAAGTATCATTACGATCTTGATGCGCCCGTTACATCAAGATCGTCCTCGTAACGCCCTTTTTCACGCGTTCTTATCGATCGCCGAACGTTGACAATCCATAGATCGCTCTAAATTTTCATCCTTCTAGATTTCAGACCGGCCAATAGAGAAACATTGTTCCAACAACGGTAAAACTCACCCTCACCGGCGTACCTAGATCCCCATGACACTTTGCACTCTACTGGTAAACACGAACGTGTACGATCGTTCCCGGATCCTCGAGGATACTGAACAGCCTTCACGGAACCTCTGGTATCCCTTGATGACACGTGTTCACTCGCGCAAGCCGTTTCAAACGAGCGATTTCGAAGCGAAAAGTAGCGACGAAGCGAAAGAGACGCGGGAAAACGCGGACTGACTGACTATACGCTGGCGACGAGCGCGATCCGAGGCCTTCCCTCACGGTGGAAACAGACTTTGGGCCCTCGAGTTGGCCGCCAGTCTCGGCAGAAGGACCCAGACCTGTTTGCGCATGCGTTCTACACTCCCCACCCATTATTGGGTCGCTAAGTGGGAGGGGAATAACCGGCAACCCTCTTACGTGGACCTGCTCTTTTTCATGCTGATTCCTGTACCTACCGTTCACCTGTGGCTTTTCCTCCTCAGGTGGCAGCACATCACCTGACATTCGATTCGGCCGGTGTTTATTACAATGGCGTAAGAACCAAATTTTTTTTTCACCCTGTCACGTATCGGCTCGTTCGATGCGACTAGATTTACAAATTTCGAACACCGTTTATACTCTCTCGAAAATACTAAAGATGAAACCTATTGTCGATACTTTGTATCGCTTCTTCCTTTCTATTTTAGCGAAGCTAAATTATGAATTATACATCATGCCAGGCATACGACGTTAAGTATTCATCCATATAAGAAACGAGACAAAAGTAATTTGTACACGGATAAATGTATCCTGGACATGCATACGTATCCACAGAAGACGACAATAAAGACGAGAGCGAGCGCGCAAACAATACAATTCTTGTACAAATTTCAATTCTGTTTACCGTGTTTATCGTTAATCTAAAACAATTTCTTCGGTAATGATCCGAACAATCACGATTATTAGAACGAAGGCACGACCGGATAACTGGTAAACCCTTCCTCGTGAACCTGTTCCTTTTCATTCTGTACACTATTCACCTGTGGATATTCTTGTTCGGATGGCAGCTTCGCCTAATCCTGCCTCCAATCCTGGCGTCGCAGTGGCGTAAGAATAAAAAACATTCGATGCGCGTAATGTCACACTCTTCGAAGAAAATTTCGATTTTGACGAGCGAAGTTCAACTTCTTTCATCGCGTAGCAACGCAGAAACTTGAAACAGGGCGCGCACGCACCAAGAAATTATGCATCTAATGACGTAATAAATACAGTCGAGGAAACAGTCGCTGAAGAGTTAGGAACAAAACGAAGGGAAAAAGTCATCGATCAGATGATTATCTCGCCGTGTCCTCGACCGTGCTGTTCCTTCCTCGATTCTAGACGATACGGTGAATCCCCGAGGAATTCGCTTTGCCAACATTTTCCCGTCTCCCGGTTGAAATGCGCTGAAAGAAGAAGAAACCGAGAGGAAAAGGGGATAACCTGCATCTACGGACACTTGGATGCACATCGCTGACCCCCGTGTGCGTTAATAATTCACTCCTCTTCCTTTCGTTCCTTAGGTTCGCTTTCATACTCGTTTGTGTTTGAAAAAATAATTGCGATGCCCTGTATTCTTAAAGCCTCTCGCCTCAGCGACCATCGACCTGCTTTGTCTAGCCACTGCAAATTAATACAGAACCCTCTCGTCTTTGATATTTTTAGAACGATATAAATAGCATCCTAATACTTGCTACGAGTCGATACCAAAGTCCACGATGTAACAGAAGATTGTCTAATTGTTCGAAAACAGAAATTTATAAACATGGCCTCCATCGTGGAGAATACACCTCTGCGGGTACGTTTGCGACCATGCGATTCATCTAGAAACTAGTTCCTGTTTATTTATCCATTTCTAACGACTCATTCTGGAACAGGATAGTGGTCTTTAATGCCCTCGTTAGAGATAATCTAATCTCTATCTCGCGGACATGGACTGAAAGATTTCCATGTAGCGAAGGCAAATAAAAGCATTATAATCGCATCAAAGACGTTTAAAGGATTTCCAGAAACTTCCAAGATACGTTTAAATAGATTGTTGGAAACATTTGGAACGTTTCTTAATTGTTATTTTTGTTTAGATAAGAATTCTGTCCGTTTCTAGTCCGATGATTGTTCCGTAGACGTATTGTAGCATTGCGCGAAGAATAGAATAATTTCCGGACAGGTCGATGCACACGAGCGAGCAGGAGGATTCGTGGTCGTAGGAAATAGTCATGACACCACGACTATGGTCTATACACTCTATACAGCCGCACATGTGTCGCGCAGTCTTACGAGCTGCGAATTCGCGCGAGGACGGTTCGATGACTGAGACACGATTCGCGAGTGAAATTTACGATCGACTTATCGGACGTCACCCCGGAAGACAGGGGGATATTCGATGGATATGGCAAAGACTGTCTTAAATCAAGAACTGTCACTTGCAAGCGTACTCGGCGTACTCGGAACGCAGTCGACAGAATGCGCGACTAGTTGAAAATGTTGCAATCGTTCTTAAAGAGCGTAATCGTTTTACATTAGACGCGCTAATTTCCTAACTAATTGCTAGTTGTACCAACAGCGCTACTGTGGTTTACAATCTGACATCGGTTGCAAGATCAGCTGTAGGGTTACCATTGCCTCGATGCAACTTCTAATTTTGTCACCCTTTAATTGAAAGTAGCCTCGAACATTGTCAGAGTTCAAAATTTGAATCTCCCATCAATTTATTATCGATATAAAATTTTACTCATCTTTGTCAGGCAGTAGCGTTCGAAATGAATCATCGATACGCGTTCCGTGCGAAACTGTTGAAAGCCATCGGCTTCTTCGTCGTCGTTGCACATGCACGTGCACCCGGAGCCGCGTAAGCGACTAGTCGACGTGGCTATTGTTCCGAAGAATTCGCGCACGTGCGTGGGTGTGTCACGTATGCGCGAACGCCTTGGAATTTAAAGCGAACGTAGAAAAGTGTCGTTGCCAGGGATCGAGGAATCTAGTGACAATCGATCGAGAGTGAAAATCTAGTTGGAGCTGGAATAAGGAACTTCCTGTTACTTTCTGTCATGAAAATCATATACACCCTTGGGAAGCAATTGGGTTCTCGAAATAATTAGGATTGTATTATTTAAATAAAAAGATTCCTTTTATTATAGGCATGCGGAGCAATAATTATCGTACAATATTTAATAGAATCGAGAGGACGTCATCGACGGAACGTGCGAATGACGTACGGCTATATCGACTAACAATAAGAGTACGCGCGCTTCTATGTACAATTTGCCCATGATATAAGAACGACCATAATGTTAAATTCGACATTCTATGAATATTGCACTTTGGACAGACTGACGTTTATAGGTAAAATAAGGCACACGGAGTTGCTAGGAATATTATTACAAGGAACTATAAATATAAATGGCCTACTAAACACACGACATCAGACTTAAACTTAAACAAACTCGACACGTCGAGTGGATGATGATATAGTTCGTTTCGCGAGCAAAATAAATCATCCAAGAGGACGAAGCGGTTGGCACGTCCCGGCCGAAATTTACTTCTCCGGTTTCATGGATGGCGAAGAACTACGGCAGCCATCACGAGGTCATCTCCAGGTACCTTTTAGCTTCGATGGACCCGTAACTGTGGGAATATCGACCGCTATAAGATGCGCGGGACCATGCGCCGGCCCTGTTTGAATAACTGTTGCACGCGATCAGGGAATTCATGCCGCTGGGCCTGTCGATCGGTACGCCTTGGCCACGTCCTCCATGCCGCAGACTGCCGCTTCGCGATTGCCCACTGTCTGTCAGCGGCGTCATCAGGTCCTCCGCGGGCCCGATTTCAGTGTACTGTTTCCTTCCGCTTGTGCAAGCGCTAAGGAACACCGCGGCTACCACGCCCTGGGAACAATCGACCGGTGTACAATTGTACATCAACTCTTGGATGACTACTCGTAGCATCTTACCACCAGCAGATGAAGCATTACGATGAACATGCTAGCGTTCCTGAAACCAATGTTGTCCAGAAGGATTCCTGCTACGCTGGGCCCGATGAAGGCTCCAAGGGCGAACGTGCTCGTCCACAAGCCGCTGATGAGACCATACGTCTCGAGATTGTTTGGGAATCCATGCGATCTGAAAATTATATTTAGTTTTGTTTCCTCGAAAACTATTTTTACGACGTATTTTTACATTATTAAGTTAACTTACATCGACGTTCTCAAGGCATCCGTGAAACTGGCAACCAGTTGTGCAGCCATGCCTAAGCCGTGCACCACGAGACCGCAAATGGTCATCCAAATCATGGTTGGATACGGAATGAACGGTGCCGGACCGACTAAACAGAATCCTATGACTACGAGAATGCATCCAGCACAGGTAGCCACCTAAAAATCGTTATAAAAATTAAAATGTTTAGGTACATTGTCTCGTTGAAATATTAAAGAAGAGAAATTTTTCGAGAATTACTTTTGGATGGAAATGGTTGTCGCAGAGCCAGCCCCATGCTGGGGCCGTGATGGCGTAAGTGCCACCGTTAATGACGAACATTAAGCCCAAAATGATTGGACTCAACGCGAATTGCCTCAAGTGCGGTTCCAACGTTGCCTGTAAAAATCCTATGCTCATACTGGTTGCAATTATAGACCACATGGCTACCAATACACCTGGGATCTTTAGAGCCCTGGTCATTCCTGAGAACGTGTATTAATGATAAATTACGAATAAATTACAAGAAGCTCACAGTCAAAGAGTTAACGTTGAAAACTCACCTCCAGTGCTGTGAGTAGCTTCGTTATTATTCGGATGAACCGGTAAGATAAATATGGTTGCGACTGCTGTTACGAACAATGCTGATCCCAGGACAACGAATGGAGTTGTGTATCCACCAACCTGTGGTTCAATTTTTCATTAATATATACGAAACAACGGTTACTTTCGGTACTTGGAATTTTCATTGTCCATCGATACCTAAGTTAAGGTCATTAAGACGAAGTCGAGTCCCGTTTATCGTTAGCACGAAAAGAGTCAAGGAAAAGGGACCGCGGTAAACCATTTAAATAGATGTTCTAAGTGATTCGATCGAGTAAACATCTTTATGCTTATTGCCTTACCTGATAAAGTGCGCCGCCCACAGTGGGCCCAACGATGAGGCCCAAGCCAAAGAAAGTTTCGAGGCTGGCGAAGGTCGTAGCGACATTATCCGGGAACTCCTTGGCGATAATGGCGAAGCTAGCCGTAAGGAAAGCAGCGTTGCCCATCGCCTCGACGATCCTAATCACGAACGAAAGAACTATGAAGGGATAATGACCGTTCACCTTGTCCAACAGACCGAAGAGGATAGCGCAAGTTCCTGTCGTCAGGATACCGCCATTGAACAGAAACTTTGGCCCGATGCGATGCAACTGCAAGGAGAAAATAAACTTAAGAACTGCGCTAATTATGTTCAGGTTCAAATATTTTTAAAAATGTGGCTACGTTTGGGAACGGAAGCGAATCTTTCGGCGAACAAAATTTACGTATTTTCGAAACGATAAAGTTTTATGAATTCGATAACGTCTAATGAAAAAGTATTCAGTTAGCGATACTTTATCTACGACCCTTCGATCACGTGGCTTTTTTTTTGCCTGTTCCACGATAAAGTAGCAGAATCCTAACGCTGAGTATAGATTAAGAGACAGATCGACAATTTTAGACGACTTCTATCGTTGATAAGAGTTTTATGACTCCGTTTAGCTTTCGGTGCTTTATTTAGATCTGGAGAAACGGTACTTATTCGATATTTCATCAGACAGGCGATAATACGATAAACATTGTTGATGAAAGATGCCGCCTACAAATGGTCGAATCTTTAGCGGTGAAGCAAGCTGGGTAGACGTTACTCAGGCTTTCTTTTTACTCGTCCAGAGTTGTGCGTCACTCGGATATCGATTCACGTATATGTAGATTATTTCGCGAATAAACACTTTCTTCGCGTGATCTCGTCTTCGAAAAGTAATACCAAGTTACAACGTAGTATTTCAGTTCTGTTCCGATTGGAGTGTATTCACTAATTATTTCACTTACGTATTGTCCATAGACAGGACTGATAGCGAAGACGACCAATTCAAAGACTCCGAACACCAAGCCATATTCAGAGGCAGATGCACCCTTTCTCTCCGCCTGTGGACAACGAACAAATTTGAATCAAATAAATCTTGATACTTTATTTTTAGATCATTATTAATACCTTAGGTACGAAAAACAATCGATAAATCACTATGTAATTACGACGATTTAATCAGTCCATTTCATCTCGTATACAATATTTAACAGATATAAGAGTACAATGTCATACTATTATTTCTGATTATAATGAGCAAGCACGTATACTTTTAATGAAATTGAACCATTGCTGACCCATCGATACTGGATATGCTCCACGATTCTTTATCACTCCGCATATCACTGTTTGGGCTGCAATTAACGCTCGTTTAGATAAAGCTGAATGAACTTTAGACATTTCACGCAGCGAGATTTACGAACCGAAATATTGGTTGTTGATAGAAATGGGTGCTCGAGATTTTTGAAAATAGAGGAAAGTAATCTTAATCGCATGTTTTTATTCGGTTTCGTCAGATTATCGTTTATTACGCGTAATTATACGCGATTTTTTTGTCGAGGATAGACAAATTATGATACGAATTTTCGTTTAACATAACACGATAAGGTTTATCAAAGTTAATTCGCAGACACGCGTGTAGGCTCATCAAAGAAGATGCTTACTGGTGGCAAAATCTTGTTCACGAGGAGATATATTTATATGATTATGTCTAGCAATGGAAGACTAATTAAGATTGCTGCTGCATGTACTGAAATAACAGGCCTCAGCGATTATTAATAATCAGAGCTCGACAGTGTTTAGTAGACACCGCTGAACTTGCCGATAAACATCGTCGAAATACGTTGTTTAGAGTTACATGGCGCCAAAGTCTATTTCACAAGTGTCTGTTATAGTAAGATAGTAACCTTCAGTGATGTAAACTGAAGAACGTAACGATTGCTATGCAAGTATGACGCTCTTATGTTTGATAAATACATAGCTGCGTTGTTTGTATTCGACTGTGATGCTTCGCAAACGTCATTCTATCTTACAGTGAGCACAATTTAAGTCTGCAAGGTCATGGCAAGAAACGTAATTTCTTCGAGAAATAAATATAAACAATTTTTTAATCGAGATGCTTCGAATGCTTGTCATCCCGAATCAGTTTTTTTTAATAAGACAACTCACCTCTTGAGGGTAGAATGGCGCCTGAAGTGAAACACAAATGGCGTTCGCGAAATCCGCGAGGCTGATGACTATCAGCGTGAGCCATTGTCTCTTAGTGAATTGAGCCATCATCGTTTAAAGTTGGCCTCTACCGATTCTTCGCTACCTTCCGAACCTCTTGTTCGACGCTTCACGCAAGAAATGAACTACGTCGCATCACATTCACATCAGAGACAACGATGATTTCCAACGTTAGGCTTCCCCGTCGGTCCACTTATCACCGTTTTTATGAACAACGTACGCGTCGATCCGACACCTTGTCCTGGTGTGCCTTCGAGACCGTCGCTTCCGACGTTTGACGCGGCTGTGCGAGCTCTGACATAAGTTTAGTTTTCAGGCTACCAGAGTTAAAATAAAGGAAGACGACGGAGAGAAAGGGAGACAGAGACGCAGGGGTCGAGGGTCGAACGATACGTCCTACCATGGTTCTAATTCATTATCTGGCAACGTTGCTCGACTTCGACCAACTTGGACGTTTCGTCTCTCGTTTCACCAGATTGGGGTACGTTGCTCGACGAATTTTCATCGACGCGTTCCTTCCAAGATAAACGCCCTCTGCGTTCGCTCTGACGCAGATAAATAATGTCGAAAGGTGGGTGAAAGTATTTTCGAGGGAGTATCGTTAAGGGTTGCCAGACAGACGTTATTGCATCAACCCTCTAATCGTGCCGATGAAAGTACACCTCTTATCTTTATCGTCAGTTTAGTTTTTCTTCGGACACCTATCGTGTCTTTCGATACAGAATTGTTCGCGTATTCGATGTCTAATTGAAATCGTCTGACTTAACATAAATTCAATGAGTTTTAGATACATTGACGGTGACGTATCGCTGCCAGACCGTTTGAATGTACCTTGGTAAACAAGACCTAGAATTCTATAGTTAGAATATCTGTAAACTTATCTGTAAACAGCACGTTTCTCGGGCACAATCTGGATTCTAGAAACTGCTTGGGCTCGCATGACCAATCGTATACCCGTGACACTGATAGATTTACTGCTTTATTGTTTTTCCCTTGATATTTACAATGACGTGATATACATTTTAAGGGAGCAAATACAGACGATATTTACAAAATGTCGAATGGTATATACGCCAAACAGTGGCTCTCAATCTTTTGGTTACAAACAATTTTTCAGCGAAGATTCCTAAAATAAAATATGTTTTTCTCTTCAGCCCAAATGAAATAAACGTTGCCTTAACAGTAATAAATCGTAGGTGTGATACAATTATTTTTGTTACATTCGAAATGCAAAAATAAATGAGAGATCACTGCTTATTAAAATTAACGATAAATATACTACGCTGTACTTGAGCTTAAGCTCTAGCTTGCTTCGAGGACAGTGTTGGAATTTTGTTCAGTTCGCATAACCGAGGTTCTACCACAGTAATAATAATATAACGGTACTTGTGATTTCTATAATAATATTAGATAATTCTTGGCTAAAGCGCACACAAGTATCCTAACTTTTCTAAGAAAAAAAAGCACGTACATGTTCGCAAATTTAGTCTTAGTCCATCAAAATACTCGATCGATTTGCGATCGTCCTTCGACTATGCGCAAACTCGTGGTCAATCTGAAATTCGAGCACGATGTTTCGAGAGTAGTAGCGAGTTTCTCGTCTTCGGGAGAGACGATCCGGGAAGCTACGTGTCGTGGAGCCATACTTTCAGCGGTACCTTGTTCAAGGCCTTGCCAAGAAAGTCCTTGAAATGTTTAGCGATGCTGGCGCTGGCAGCTGGTCGCATCTCTTCGATGATCTCTTTCGCGTTCTGGTTGAGAAACTGATTCATGGCCTGACCGATCACGTTGTTGCCGTTCAGCTGATCGATCACGCGAAATCGAGCACGACCCAAGCTGAAATCCACCAGCATTCGCGTCACTTTTAGATAACGAATCCCTTCCCTGACCTCCTCCGCGCCCTGCACACGTGCGATGGCCTGCACGTCACCTGCACTCAAACATTTTTATTTTATTATATATTTATTCGTCTGACGCGACGACTCTCTTTGGCATAACTTGATGTGTTACCGAAAAGTGCCCAAAAATCGCCGTGGCTCTGAATTGGGAAAAGAAGCACGTTCCCTGCTACCTCGTAGCGACCTTGAAGTTCGATCTTGGGGAAACCCAGGTGGAGATCGAGCCTGTACGAGGCTATATCGAGGCGAGTCTTGGTAATCGAATAGTTTCCCGCTCCTATGACGGTGATATTGGAGAACAGAGCTCTGATGCGCACTGCTCCTTGTCCATTCTCCATTCCAAGTTCCGGGATGATGAGTGGCTCGATTGGAGGTAGATCCAAATCGGGGATACCTGAATAAGTATTGCAATATGAAATAAAAAGTGTTAAACTTGTTTTGCTTTTAGTGATTAATCATTTCATTATTTACTAATAATATTACATACTTACTTAATCGTAGATGCGAGAAAGCTAGCAGTTCAGGTAATAGTTTGAATTAGAGCACAGTTCTCTGAACGCTATCTTCGTTTGAAAACTTTAACGTAAACTTTGTCTTAAAATAAATATATTTACCTTTCAACAAATAGGGTTGAAGATGGTTCAACGTATTTTGGAAGCATGCCTCCACCTTAGGATCCGACCTGCTGCAGGGTAATATGTACTCGGCTGTGAAAAATAGAATGTTTTAAAAGAAGACTGATTTGTAGTAAACTCTTATCGCGTTTAACGTTACGCGGTTAACGGATACGTGAAATTTTAACATCACGTAAAGTCACGCAGTCGTGACTTTGTTTCCCAACGAATTACGATGTCTTCCTACATCCAGTAGCTTTATGCAACCACTCTCACTTCCGATGTCTTTGAAAAATTAATTCCATTTTCCGAGAGTCTTACCTTTCCGTATCATCCTTCGGCATTAGTTACGCATTCAATAATTACGGAAAATTTCCCTGTTACGTAGCATTTGCTAATGTTTCTCGATGTACTCGGTTTCATTTCGAAGCTCGTTACGATCATTTTATTATCTAAACTATAGTAGTAACTTTTACAAATGCAATCAATTTTTTACGGTATTGTTGTAATTATTCTGAGTTTACAATTCATGAAACTTTGGCACATTTTAGCATTCACGCTACCAGCAAGGACGTTTCGAGCTTCCCTCTGCAATAAAAATGCAAAACACTGGTTGACTTACAATTGACTGATCTTGACATACAATTTCTCTGGACACCAAAGTTCTCGCCATATCAAGCACATGTTTCGATGTGGTTTACGAAAGTGGATATTTATAATATTACTTTAGGAATAGAGTTTGGTCGAAATTTTAGTATAACTTGCCACAGGTCTAATCTCCATACCTGGAACACTAAAAACCTACGATGTAAATATGTAAATAGCTTGCGCTTGTAACAGTGTTGCTGAAACCACGTGCGTTATAACGTCATTGGTACTTCGAAATAATAAATTTCGAACAGAAACGACTTTCTCTCCAATAAAGTTCCAATATAGTTGCAGCAAATTCAACATGGTTTATTTCCTTTAACTAGAAACTGCGTTTCTCTCGACGAATTCCTTAAATCTTGTATAGAGAACCATGTTTATACCGTCGTTACATCAGTCAAGTCATCAATTTATGAGACGTAGTTTGTGCTACCTCCTTTCCCATGCTCTATTAAGACATGGAAATTGTATGGTTTTCACATTTATAGTAGAATTTATGTTCGGCAACTATCGATTTTCAATATTTTTTATCCGCTAGTTTTTCTTTACGTTCATCGAATCAGAAGGTCCGACCCGTCCCAATTGCATGACGCGCTCTACATGCACACTTTCCCCATTCAATCGATGCCTGTTCTACTTTTCACGTCATTGCACGGCGACCATTACGAAATCGGACTTCGTAATGTTCAATGATACCCTGTCAGCTGAATATCCCGACACTAGAACTGGTCTTCTGTAATTTTATCTCAGCTTTTAATCTTAACATTGCTCTTTATATCGTTCCAAAGACGAAGCAAACAAGTTGATCGAAAACAAGGTATCGTCTGGTTTGTCGAATTCGCGGCGTACAGGAACATTTGCGAGTGACTTCGATGCGTGTAGCGCCATGTGCACGTTATGTCGCGTTACCAAGTTACATCTTGGTAACGAAATCACTATCGAAATGCCAGATAAAAGTTAGGCCTGTCTCTGGAGGCAGCTGTTCGTGATCGATTAGCGTGGACATTGTTTCCACGATGTAACAGCTTCTAGGAATCTGGACCGGCTGATGCACCGAGAATCGCGTTGGCGCTTTCACTCGAAACGTTCGGGATTCGATCAGACGAAGACGAGCGACGTTTGTACGACGAAGATACACCGTCGCAAGACCGGCTCGAGCCCGGTACTTTCTCCGACCGATTGCCGCCGATCCTCGGCTGTTATGCAATCTCTGACATAACCTTCGCCACGCCATCGAGAGCCGTTACGCCATGCCCGGTACCATTATGTTTGAACGGTGACCGGCGCAGCCTCGCATAATAGTTCGCGTCTGGGCCGGTGTTTAAGCTACCTAACCCGAATGGCTATTGTACGTACGAACTAGGAATTCTAACTGCTCGCTTTTGTCGAAACGTTACGCCGTTGTTACGTTACGCCGCAAGAGTAGCAGGCGTTGTTTGCCGGCGATTACATGAGACCCTGTTTTTGATATGCTCGCTCCATGGACTGGAAATTGGGTCACTGCAGAAGCAACATTTCGTTGATACCTTTTTCGTCTTATGACCTTTTCAGTGGTAGCTCTTACCACTTCAGCTGAATGTTACATAGTGCTAAAAATTCATAGAGATTAAAAATGAAACTTATTTCTTGGAAAATTCCTTCGATACTGATCTGTCATTCCACGTAGCGTTTCGCGTTCGAACGCACCAATCGGTGACTTTACTCCGTCAAGAATGCACGTTAGAAAAATATATTGAATTTCTCAAAACAGATACACGTGGATATGAGAAAGAAAACATAATCACCTTTCGTCGAAAATCGTTCGAGGCGGGAAACGTCGCGTGTTCGTCAAACGAACTTAAACGTCGAAAGAAGGAAAACCCGGTTAACACAATACGCTTCCGCGGCATAATCGTTCATCGCAATTACCCCCCGCGCGGAAAGAGAAAGGCAGATACGCTCAATGATCGTGCAAGGAAAATACGAGAAATAATTACTCGCCGGTAACACCTTCATTGTGCACCTGTTACGTAGCCCCCGTAACGATAACACTCTGCGTTCAGCAGGCACTGTGTCGTCACGCTGTTTGTCGGTAATAGGTCACTTATGACAACTAGCCACCGGCGACACATGCCATTTGACAGTACATCTTGTCATTCAGAAATTACTATTAAAAAGCATTCTATAAATTACCAATCGAGTCAAACTTTGTATTTTATTAATAAATTAAATCGAACTTTATATCGAACAGATTAAAAACTCATCTAAACAACAATTTAATTTAATATTAAAAGAAGCAGTCGCAGGTTGCACGACCGCAAAGCATTTAACGAAACGTATTCCAAGTGAAAAACACCGAACAGACACGCGTCCGTTTACCGTGAACGGATCGAGGAAATCCAGCCACTGGATCCCGCGATCCAGCCTGACGAAAAGCCGACTTCGTGTTTCCCTCTTACGAATGGAGAGTGGTTGCACAACCTCGCCAGTGTAGGAGCTCCAAACGTCATTACCACCCAATTTCCAGACCTCGAACAATTTCACTTTTCGAACAACAACTTCTAGCGATCGAAGCACCTGGAAATCCTGCTCCTGTCATTGACAGCCAATGACCCAACAACGTTTAGTTAACCTGGGATAGCATAGAAAGACTCGTCCAAATTCTAAACGTCACTATATCGTTCAATTTTCAGTACAACCTTCAATGGTGAAGACATCAAAAGATCCTTGACAGCGTTCACTCGAAACCACGTGCCACCCACTAGAGATAGATCAAAAGAAATGACGCGGTGGAAGCTTACGAGTCTCGAAGTCTGGCTCGTTCAGTCCAGTATTGGTATCCTCCGTCTCACAGGACACCAGCTGAACGAACAACAGTGTCAACAGCGAGCAAGCTAGTCTTCGTCCACCGAGCATCCTGGAAGACTTCATCCCCGAGGGTTTGCCGGTCTGTCCAAAACTGATCCTTCGAATCCGAGAATCTTGGAACGATTCCCTCCACAGGTCTGAGTCCTGTAAAATCCGGTCTTAGACGTCTGATATCCTCCGTCCTTGAAGATAATGGGTGTGAACACTCGTTCTTCCAGTTTTTGTCTAAAAGTCACCGTTGCAAATTTTTTTTTTTTCTTTTTTGTAAATTCACCAATTTTTATTTTAGTTGTTTTGGTTCAAGAAGTTTTTGTTACATGGTCAGTAGACGATTAATAGGTCATCCGAAGCACGAAGGATGGAGGTAGTTGATCTTGACGAGGGATAAAGGTGACGGCTAGGTGGATTGGTTGTCGTAAACTAAACACGGGCCCCGTTCATATTCTGTCTTATATGCGAGGGTTCCCCTACTCTGGGGACTTTTGCTCGGCTTTAAACGCAGACAGGAGTTTGCCTCTTTCTATTCCCGCCACCGAAGCTCGCACTTTGGACATTCGGACACCACTGTTTCACGATTCGCTTTTTATAAAAATGGTTCTTGAAAAATTACTGTAGACATCTTGTTTAATCTCCGAGATTCCCAAATTCCCAAATTCCCGAATTCCCATTTGCTTGAATAAGCTTATAATGCTCCACTGATTTAAAATGTATTTTTTTTTGTTCTATTGATTACAAAATTGATTGTTTCACAAAACATATTAAAAAGAAAAATCAAACCGTCGACGGTAAAGTATGTACCAATTTAAAATGATTCATCGCGATTCAATCTTGCAATGAAATTTATTAAGGTACATCGAAATTAGACTAGAGTTGGTCAATTGCGCCTTAGAAAACATGATGAAAGATAATATCGAGGCTAGAAAATGTGTGCACGTACACTACGAAACGAACAGTGAATTTTGCGTAATGCCCTACTAGATCATTGCGCGAGCGCTACATCATCTAAACAGTTCATCAAAATTATTTTAATGGTATTAATTTTACACGAGATTAATATGGAGATTGTCTTGTGCAATCATCATTTTACTTTTGATTATTCTTCGCGATACACCGATCTAATTATATCTACAACATGGAAGGTATTGTAACATTTACATGAAACGACGCTGTGACGTATAAACATTAATAGTTTATTTTTAACAATAGATGATATTAATATACGATAATAGTTGGTCACGATTTTCTGTTTGTGGCTTAGCTGGCCATGAATGTATAATGTGTCATTGTCTTTTCGAGTTGGTCCTTGACAGAAGGCGTGCGTGGAATACCTGATAAATTACTCGGAAATGAATAGTGAAGAAAGGTGCATTTTGCAAGACTTGTTTGAGTTCGACAAACACGTTAATTTGCGAAAATGTTCAATGATAAACACTGGAACGTTTTTATCGATGATACGTTATCGTTATTCTTCTTTTTAATTTTAGTGTATCATGTTCGTGGTACGTTTCGTTGATGGAAGAAACGTAGGTTGTTCCCGAGCAAACTTTTCGCGTAGCGATCCTTTAGCTCTCAACCATGCCTCTTATTTGAACACCTTGAAATTTTTGAGCGTTTTACACCGTTTGGAGAAATTCTGAAAGACCGCATCGTTCTCTTGCCCAATTTGTTCTGTCGACATCGAGAACTCTTTGACACGCGTACATTCAGTCCCTTAAAATTGTATAGCTTTCTAACACGCGCACTGTTTTACCTAGGAAACCGAGAAAAAGTAGCGTAGCAAGAATTCAATACAAACATTGTGTCACAGAGTGATGCGAAGTTTCTTCAAGTAACATCTCAACAGCAAATATTTCAAGTACATTCCAAGTTGCAATTTAGATTTTCGAAATGAATATTAACTTTGTGTCTTTTATTTTCGTCTGCCGTAGCGCATGTCAGAGACTACGTCCCCCCCCCCCCTCCCCCCTCCCCCGAATTCAAGAAGCTCCTGTCTCAAACATTTTTGTCTATTTTTAAAAATAAACCAGTTATGCAGATAACCTTTCTGAAATTCTCCACTCCGTATGATTAGTTAATTCATAAATTACGGTTCGGAAAGAATCAACGAAAGAGGCTGAAAATATTTTCAAGGAAACACAATATAGTCAAATGAATATCCTCTATCGTCAATTAGTCGACCGTATTGATTGACGCAACAGAATCGACTCGTACGCCTGGCGAAGATAGACATTACACGAATGCGAGTACGGATTGCATACTGTAAGGCGAATGCTTAATGTCCTGGTAAATAATGTTACGTGAATAGAATGAAACATGTAAAAATTAAATACCAGAATCGATAGCACTACTGATATTTAACGTCACTGTCTACAAGCCTTTAAAAGGTGTTTCGCGCTTGCGAATTCCGATCTATACACTTGTTTACCACTTCGCGTGATGTTGGAGATGCCGCAAGAATCCTTTCAATTTCTTCGTCGAGTCTTTTTCGCAAGAGCATCATTATCCTAGGAAGCAGTTGAACGCCAAAGATTATACGGGATTACGCGTGTTCATCTCAACAAATGATAGAGAAACGATTAATCCGTTTCTGGCTGTAATTTATAATTCGATCCTCTCGTGCGGAGAAATAGTCGTTTGAGCAACGAGTTTCAACGGGATTTCAATTTAGAAAATATCTGCAGTGGTGTAAGATTCAACGATCGCTTACACGCATACGTTATTTGTAAATTTCTTTAAACTAACAAAATCTTATAGATGGAACTGTTTATTGGAAAGTCTGAATACACTTGCATTAGTTTTTATTACATTGCTAATTAATTAATTGGCAGAAGACGTGGAGAACGAGTTTATTGTTTCCTCGTTATCGTGGTAATCGAAACTGATAATTTTAAATTTTAAACTGCGCCTGCGGAATGTTTGTCCAGCTTACGCGTTTACCATGTGGTTGCCTACTACCAGGGTTATAGGTATGTTACGAAATTATAAAAGAATATCTTAGTACCAGCTTATATATAGATTTGTAAATTTACAAATTGTACTTAAAAATTCTATGTTACATCTAAGCGAAAGCTTAAAAAAATGATGCAATTTCAAGGTGGCAGCAACACATCTTCCGGAAACTCGGAGAAAATCTTGTCCGTGAAGTCTTTAATAAGATCGCCGATAGTCTCCTCGAGTTTCGGCTTTATCTCCGCGACTATGGACCTCCAGTTATCGTTTAGAAAAAGATTCATGGCCGCGGAGAGCGTGGTGTCGCCGTCGAATAAATCGTCCAGTTTCACCGTAGCATGGCCTATCACGAAATCAACGTAAATGTCGCTCACGCGCTGGTGAACCTGACCTGTTTTTTGGCTCTGGTAACGCTCCATCTGAAGAGTGATGATGACATCGATGTCCGTGAAATTCCCGTGTCCCAAACCACTTCCGACCATCGGTAGCATCATTATTTTGCCGTTCAGATGGTAATGCGCGATCATTTCCAGCCAAGGAATAAAGAATTTTAATCTCATGCGATCTTTGTCCAAGTCGAGCCTGCCGAATCAAGAATTCATTAGCATAGAATTTATTCTAGGAACATTTTTACATCTGCTGTAATTATTATAAGAATACCCAACTTACTTGATGGTTTTTGGAACAATGTTCGTTCCGCCGTAGATGGAGATATTGCTGTACTTTGCATGGATATAAATCGGGCCGGAAAATTGATTGATCTCGACTTCGTCCACATGAAGTGGCTCGCAGGGTGGTATTCGAAGGCTCGGAATGCCATTTCCCAGGTACGGTTTCAACGTTTTGATGCTCTCCTTTATACAGTCGTTCAGATGCGGGTCACTCCGGTGACATATCTTTAGATACGGTGCTGGAAAACATAGTAAAACGTTGTTCGTAATTCAAATTAGCCAGGCTCCCTAAGCAAACCTAAATACTTTAGATTTTCTGATCGATTTATCGTGAATTAAATGCACGCGCTCCAGATTCGAAACGGCCATCTACATTGTCGGACGTGCCCTAGAACTACGGTACGAAGCGGCGCGATTGAATACATTTTTTTTTTACGAAAATAGATGTAATATAGTCCTCGAAAATGATCCCGCTATCATTCTGTTGTCAGCGAATTATTAAAGAGAGCAGGATACTCACGAATATCTGGAACTGGTAGAGCGGCAGTCGAGCAGCTCGTCACAAAAAATATTATCAACGATCCGTAGAGCAGCATTGTTACCGCGACGAGGTTCGATCACGAAATAATTTCGGAGTTGGTCGCCGTCGAAGATACGCGGACGTGCCGTCGATTGACAATGCGCTGACACTGTCGTTTCTAGTGTCATTCTTTTCCATTTATGGATCACGCAATTCAAGGTTTCGATATTTGCTACGCATCAATTTTATACCACTACCAATTCCTATGTTAATCAACGATTTTACGCGCAGAGATCCGTGAGTGCCACGTATAAAACATTTAGCAGGAAGTTTGAAAAAGTTGTCCGTTAAATCTAAAACATCGAATGTTTAATTTCTGGCTGTTTGATTAGACGCAAAGATATCACAGTACACTCTAGACGATATGTACATTTAAGAGAACGCTGTTACGTAACATCGGACACCGATGGCGCTCTATTTGCGGCTTTGGACAATTTTCCACTTAAGGTCGGGGAAGGACCTTGCCCCCTATTGGCCGCGCAACGCGAACAGAACTTAAGGGAACGACGAGCCGATCTAGAAAAAGAAGAAACGACGTCCACCTAGAAATAGCCGCCTAGTTAACACGTGTCAAGAATGACTGGGTCCATGGCCCAGATCAGATGCCCTTCCACAATCTCGTATAAAAACCTCGGACGAACGCATCACCCACTTGCAATCGGTGATGCTGCATCGGTACACGACCGTCCACGAAATTCTCCAACGAGTGTCTCCGCATCGTTCCACACGATCTCATAATGGTCATCGAGGACCTCGTCGATCCCGTTGAATCTATCGACTGATCGACGTCCTGGACCAAGTTGTTCGTCTGCAACCACGCGTGTTAATGTGCGCGGCTCTGTTCTGTTTTCTATTTATCATCATCGTGACTGTCATTGTGCTTCTGCTGTTGTTCAAACCCGTCTACATCTGGGAGGTCTATACCGTGGAGTAAACCACGTCGTTTGATTACAAAGTAGCTTAACAGATCCAGAATCGAAATGACGAAGATTATCCGTATAGCATTCGCAGCTCTGTGCGTGGTTGCGTTGGCCAACGGTCAGGGTTCGCTGCTAGAGATGTCTCAGCAACTCTGGATGAAACTTCTAACGGGTGGATTTTCAAAGACGGGCAAACTGGACCCGCTGAAGGTACCAGTCATCAAAGTGGACCAATCCGAAGACGATACCAGCTATAGAATAATTTTAAGGAACGTGGAGATCAGCGGACTGAACGCTTCCACCGTGGAGAGTATTCACATCGCCAAAGGTAGACTGAAGTCGAATCTGAGCGAACTGGAAGCTGGCTACGTGAGCTACAGCGATCTCAGAGACCTCGACTCCATCAGGTACAGGTTCCATATGCTGGTCAAAGAACCTAAAGGCCAGAACGAAAGCTTCGAAGCCATAGTCTCGGCCACCAATCAAAAAAACAAATTTCAAGCGAGTTCTCCGGATCAGGAGAGCCGTTTCGAGAGGCTGAGGCAATACGATCCATTCCTGATGAAGATCCAAGCCGAGAAAATGAAAGATCGAACCGACGGGTCTCAGAGCGAGCGGAACAAGTCCGAGGACTCGAGTTACGGAGGTTTCAGCATGGAGGGCGCCAGGGTTGTCTCCAGACCAGAGATGGCTCGAATTCGCGATAACTCCAGGTGAGCCAAAGACGAAACGTTTACTTAGACGAAACCGTAATTTCGGAAAACACTGTATGTTGATATTTTTGTTATCTATTGGTGAAATGAAATTGTATACACTTCTGTTTCAGATATCCTTCGGACGTCCAGCCGGTTTACGGGACAAAAGAGTCACCGAACTCGAGAAACTATCAATCAAGGGAAAATTACGAGTCCGGTTCGAGGTCGAACCAGAGGAACTATCAGCCTCCTTACGACTCGAATTCCGGATCAAATTCCAGGAGCAATCAGCAGAAGAACTACGAGTCGAATTCGAGGAACTATCAGTCTCGTTACGACTCGAATTCCGAATCGAGTTCCAGAAATTATCAACAGGAGGATTACGATCGAGCCAGAACAGACGCTGTTATCAAAGAATACGAAAGAAGTAGGAATGAAAACGAAAGAGAGAACGTCGGTAACCAAAGAAGAGTAAACTTTGGTCGGCAGAGAGCCGAAGAGCGTTACGGAGACGTCGAAACTGCAGCATCTGAGAACGTAGAGAGCAGCGTGAAGGGTCAGGATCAACGAATCATTCCTGGTTACGGTGGTAGAGGGCAGCAAGGCAGATTGGAAAAGCAATCAGGTTACATAGACATCGTTTACGCGGATGCAAACGACAATGGAAACATCAAGCGCTTTGGGAACGAGAAGATCGAATCGAGAGGAGACGCTAAGGTGTACGGGGTCAAAGATGTTCCAAAGGTACTGTTGCTATATTCTTCCTTAATAATTCGTACTGGAATAGCTAGTCGGATTTACGTAGCACTCGTGCTGTTAGTATCGGTACGACAGGATCATTTTAATAACGAAATTATGCAAATAGGACTTTCTCGACAAGAGACGGATGCTTAGTTACAACTGTACCGAAGGAGAGGCGTTGACGAAGAGAAACGACGCAATTAAAGCTGCCATAGAAGCGAAGACCTTGAAAGGCTTGAGTAGATACGCGAAAGAGTACCAGGAAAAGGAAGGATATTTCGAGGAGGGAATGCAACTGGTGTACCATTACGGTGGAATGGAGTCGAAAAATGCTCAAGGATCGAGACGGAAACGCGCGCACCAAGAAAATCACACCGACGTAAGTATTATTTTTGATATGTACGTACAATTACAGCATCGCGATCTTTAATTACTTTTTAACGTTTACTTAAGGACGATGTGATGCACGTTATCATAAAAATACGAGTCCCTCTGCTTCGTATAAAATCGGATTACCAGTTGACGGGAAAAGTTGGAAAGGAGTTGGTGAGAGGAACAGGAAAACTCAATGGCACCTTCGGTAAGTATCAAGCATCGGCTACAAAAATGTTAGTAGACAATGTTATTAACGTTCCTTTAATTGTATCCAGCTGAACTGGTGGGCGACTTCACAGTTGAATTAAAGAAAACCAACGGCGAAGATACGTTAATCGTGCGTGCAGCCAGGAGCAAGCTAAAAGCCAAGCAGCAGAACGTCGATCTTCAGGGAATGGACGAAAAGGGACCAGTAAAATCGATTCTTAGTCATGGTAAATATCATCGTAGCTTCGACGACCGATAGACGTAGCAGTTGCCCGTATAAAGGATCGTTCGTCACCGATACGAGTTCGTATGGCAACAATAAGCTTAGTTCACGGTATTATGTAAAACTCTTTCGTCTGTTTTTATTGCATCATAGAACCGGTGTCATAGCCGCGGTATTCCATAATTAGCCAATGGCAAAAACACAGGAGGAAAAGAGGATTCCGATCGAGGAAAGCGTTGTCAATCGATCCGAAAGTTACGTCTGCATGCGTGTCGGCGATCGCACCGATGCCGACGGTCCGTTGGGTCGTCGCATATGTTTCAACGATGGAATGTCGCGTATACGCAATTATATAAAGCACGAGAGAGCCTAACGGATTGAAAAATACTTTCTTTCGGCGTCCGTGGGCGATCCAAGTCCGATTTTGTCGTTACATACCCGGGCTGCGTCACGCGATACACCACGCGTTCAAGTCTCCACTTTGCCGCAGCTTTGGACGAAAAAACTCAGATAATATCTGTTGTTGATATTCGCACTTAAACAAATATATTTACAAGTAGTAAAGTTCCACTTTTACAAGACTTGGTCATCCATTTATTCAATTATTCCATTAAAATTTTTAAAGAAAACTCGTTACTTGTTTCGAGACATAAACGTAATTTTATCGATGAGACCATTCGTTTCGATTCGAAGACGCTACCGTTTCATGCGTTACAAGGTGCAATTTACAATCCAATTATTCACCGTGCAATCAGGAAACAAAGAAGGAAAGTAAAAGTAGCCGTGCACTGGGTGTATCGACGTCGATCGATGGTTGCGAATTAAGTAAAAGTGTCCACTTTCTGCATCGTTTTCATCCACTCCCACGACGAACGAGTTCGAGATATTGATTCGCTTAATAGCAGACTAACAGCCGCTACATGACTAACTGAGAACGTACACGAGCGAAAGACTTTAGAGGACATGCTTGAAGCAATATAGGTGTAACCGAATATTCCTCGTCGCTTAAATATTTCCATTGTTTTTTGTTCACAGGTTTGATGGCAGCAGAGGCTGTCGCAGCTATGCTGGCGGACGATTTGGCGACCAAGGCTCTAAACGACAAAATAGCCGACGCGATGATCTACAGAATGTACAAAAATCTTCCGGTCAATTAGCCAGGAACCAAGGACGGCCATGAAACTGGATTTCTGTGACACGGACCGGACACTCTTTCGATTTATCGTAAACTGCTCAAAATAATTAGGGATTCTCTGGACATATCTTATCAAGGATGGTAATTATTTTGATCGGTGTACATCTGTCAATTTATTAACCAGTAATTGCATGCTTTTATTTACTTATTTATTTATTTATTTCTGTACCTTGACGGTACCAATTAAAAAAAGACTACAGCGTTGAAAAGTCATTAACCCATTAAATTGCTATTAATGTTTCATGTATACATTACGTGTAAGTTCTACAATGTAGGTAATCTTAATTATGACGTAATTTTTATTTATATATATTTCGATACATTAAACATTTATTATAGACACACATGTTGCATATTACATACGCGTATATCATAGGTATCTTGTATATTATTAAGAACAATTGTACAATTGAACAATTGTAGAAAGATAGATTAAGATCGATAATCCATCTGCTATTATTCGAGTAAAATCTTGTCGTTGTGAGATGTATTAATCCGGTTGTAAAGGAACGGCATGTATTTACTCGCTCGATTTACAAACAAGTTTCCAATCGTTACGTCTATTTTACACCAAGCGCGCCGGTATAGCGGAACCAGTCAGGATTCGTCAGATTTTACATAATCGCATTTGGAAAATTCGACGAGTTGCAACATAAACATCGCTATTAGGCGACAGGGAAAGTAACAGTCAATCAATGAGTATCAAATGCGAATTCACGGGATTAGGAGAGCGAAATCATTCCTAACGATTAAGCTGCTTATACTTTTAATCGCATTTTTTATTTTATTCTAACGTAACATACTTTATCGAATAATACTCTGTTTGTATCATCTAGTTAGTAGTATATATTTCCATGTATTCGGAATATATTTGTACCACCTAAAAAATATTGAAATACATGAATGACATAAAAAATAACTCATGCGAGAACACGGGAAAGTAAACAGTTTTACACCTCCAACTTTGTACAGAACAATACGCCTGAGTCACAGCGTCGATGACCTACATATGACAACTAAAGAGTTTCTAAATCATCCAACTTACGATTAACGACAAAAGTTTTCTCTGTAAAATACTCGATCGAGGACGAGACTGCTTCGAAGAGATGTTTCCAGAAGTTATTGAGTTATACACATACATGAATATCACTTTTCGCCATCGTCTTTTGAAATCTCGAATTGCAACAGGAAACGCTAGTCGGAATTGGCGAGGCCACAAGGACTATTAGATTAATAGCAAATCAACGCTGAGATTATCATCGCCAGAAGCTAAAACAATTAGAAACCGAGGATCGCCATCCACCTAAGAACATTAATTATCGTTTCATAACCTGTTACCGTTACGAGTACGGGTAATCTCGTACACATTATTTACAAGTGCTTAAAGTCAATTGCCGTTTGTATTCTATTTTCTATTCAAGTCACGATTTAATGGTATCATCTACTGTTCGTTTCATTATAATAGTCGATTGGAATGTGCACAATATGTAGAATTAATTGCTTTGCGAGATATAATTTGTTCATGCAGTGTACTTGAAACACCTGTTAAAGTATGTAAACGGAACCGAAATTGGTATGGTATTATTACGGACTTTATTAGTAGACCATGGAATAATTACGAAACTAAAAATATTATCCCTATCCACGAAAGCAACAAGAAAATTAGCGAAACTCAGTGTACCTGTACGTGTCGCAAGCGCATATATTAATTTTTTTGACGAACGATACATGCATATGTATTATCAAGTATTCCCAACACGATCACTTTCAGCAGACACTGCCTGTTAATGACTTTATCTAAAAAAGATCGTGGCAGGTGTGAACGCTCTATTCGTGTTAAGTTTATCCCCACGTAACGTAATAATGCATTTAGAAAACATTCTTCGGTGTTATCTGGGTTAACGAAAAGAGACTTTTACGAGCCACGGGATTAGGAGTGCTCCATTAAAGAAGGCAACTACTTTGAACGAGAACATGACCGAAAGAAAATTGTCGTAATGAGTACACCGTAAAACCGATAAAACGTGGACTTGCACCCGCTCTCTCCGCTAACCAAATTTCAGGCTGGGACTTTTACTTCCTTGGAACGTCTCTGATGTAATAGCCAATTAAAAATGCAACAGCGCATTGCCGCGATAAAGGAGATTTGCGAAGCTTATCGAACTTGAAGCTACGGTGGTTTTCGATTATTTGGCTATTTGCTTTTCGAGTTATTTTATTAGTTAAGAACTAATCTCGTCGCGTCGACGTCGTTTCGGTATCTCTCCCGACGTCACATCCTCTCCGCGGAACGATTAGAATCCTGACCTACGGTCAGCTAGTTCCGATGGAATTGGGGACGAATCCTCGTGCATGTAGCCGACATCTAGCCATCGGCTGGCTGGCTACGGCCCTGACTGAGTTAAAAGGAGCCATTCTACCGTGATGAATTCACCATCTCCCAGAGTGGGGCGATTTACACGCGCGGAGAAAGTGCTGTTTAGTTTATATATACCCAGCCGCAAGGGCCATAGTACGCATTTTCGATATTGCTCCCGCTAATCGTGATACCACGGGGCTCCGCAGTACAGCGACAGGATGACAACGATGATCGGGCTACTCCTGATTGCCACCTGGATCGGGGCTGTCATCGCTGAACTACGTGAGTACGCCTCACCCTGCGCTAGTTGGGTGAATCAACTACCGATGCCGTTCAAAACTGTAAACAGAGATGGGGGAAAGACACATTTTTCGGAGAGGTTTATCTTGACTTGATAACGAACAAATTTCGGAAATAAATGGCTCGAAAGTTTACATGGCTGGTCAGAAAAAGCGTCCTATAGCTGACAGGAATTCCCACCTTTGTTTTCGCCTACGAATTATCTCGCAATGTTCCTTTCAAGAGGTTACCACTCGTGGTCCTCCACAATTAATTTTGTTTAATCGTAAGTATACGTATTTAATTATAGTTTACCACCAAACCAGAAGCACGCCTCAACATTCCTAAAGTGGTAAACGAGTGTCCAGTGACTTATGGACGGCGATCTATATCCAACCAGTACATATCTGTTTACACATTACTATCTACAATTGCACTTTGCAACTTAAAATTTACATCATTTTCTTGCTACTTTATTGTATCGCAAATTAAGAACGACGTTACGCGGGTACTGGTTAGTTCGAGCAATGGTTAAACATAAAAATCGATTCATGCTTGGGAAAAACTACGGATGCGTTTCATTTCAGAGGAGTTTAATGTCAACGTGTTAACTGCGCATTCATGCAGATCCGATGTACCAGTTGCAGAAAATAAGTTGCATAATTCTGTAAAATGTTACAGGGACGTTATCAAGCAATGTAAAAAAAAGTAGAATATTGAGATAGATGGATCGATAAGAAATTCTCCCTTCGTCGTTCGTTGTCTTGGGATTTCTAATTTCACCGTCAGGTTTTCGATCAAAGGATGCTTTTCTTTTCTGAGTCGTTTAGAAAATCGAGTAGATCCAGCAGTCGTAGGGTCTCCTTTCACAACGGCGAGACAAAACGGAATGATCGATTGGTCGCGGTGCTCCGCGCGGTTTCTAGCTACCGGCGATCCATCGATCAGTGGACCGAACAACCTTTCTCGCTGGACGAGCACGTGTGTTCTCCGCGAGAATTCGCCTTTACGGTCAACGAGAAGGTCCGCAGCGTCCCGATAATTTCACTTTCTACGCGCGCACTTTCGATTTTAAGGCTGCGCTGCGCGTCGGACTGTGTCGTCGTGTGCAGAAACGCGCTCACCGTGACTTCTTATTAGTCAGCGATAAAGTAGACGCGTTCAATCACCTGCAGTTTCAACATAGTGCGTTGACTTTTGCTGAATAGGTGAAGAATCCGGAACGAGCATCGACCGATTCAACGTTTCGCGAAAACTCTACGTTCGTAATACTCGTTAACAATACCTATTAAACTCCAGATAATTGCAACGAAATCATCCCCCTAGCTATACTAATCACGCGTCAACTTTTGTTTCCAGCACCTGGAGTGCAGCCCTGTGCCCCGACGAACAATCTAGGACAATACAACGAGTGCGTGTTGCAGCAACTAAAAGCAATCACTCCGTACCTAGCTAAAGGAATACCGTCCTTGAAACTACCCGCGCTGGATCCGCTGTTCCTGCCGTCGCTGACGGTCGACAGAAATCTGGAGGCTCTGAAAATCAAAGCGAATATGAGCAAAATACGCGTCTACGGAGCGACCAATTTCCTCATCGACGACCTCAAAGCGAACCCTGACGATCTCTCGGTCGTCATCAAAGTTCAGCTACCTCATATCCACGTAAACGGCGACTACGATGTGCAAGGAAGGCTGCTGCTGCTTCCGCTGAACGGTGCTGGCAGTTTCAAAGGAAATTTCAGTGAGTATCACGATTTCATCTCCTTTAATTATAGCAAAGTAGTGCACCCCGACTCTAACGATTCGAGTTCGATCAGGAAAACGTCTCTAGGAGTTCGACTCTAACGATTCGATTTTTAATGTGCAGCTAATACAGAAGCGCAAGTGAGCGCTCAAGGCAAGTCGGTCACCGATAGAAACGGCGTTCAAAGGATCGAAGTCGACAAGCTCGTGACGAAGATCCGCGTTGGTGACGGAAACATCAGGTTGAAGGCGCCTCCTTCGCACAGTGTAGCAGGTAAATAGGTCTCCGTTGTACGGCTAGCTCGACAATTTTAAAAACACTTTCGACTACTTTTCATTTCTCGTTTCAGCCGATGCGGCAGCGACGTTCTTCAACTCTAATCCTCGTCTGGTTCTGGATATCGCCAGTCCAATTATCGAAGACACTGCGGCGACTGTGAGCAGAGCCTTGGCTGCCAGAGCATTAGGAGTGCTCACGAAACAGGAATTGCTCCTCTAGTCCTCTTCTCGTTATCCCGTAGGACCGAGTCGTTCCCTACCATGCCGTCTTTGCCGAACAGAGACGAGGAAATTTGATTCCAAATGAAACCGACGCGCATCGTTCACTTTATTCGCAATCTCTTGTTCGAATAAAATTTTGCTCGTTTCCGCCCGATTAATCGACCGGTGATAATCACTTTTGATTTCAAAATTCTGTTAAATGCAAGAAAGCTGTCTACTTTGAAGTTAAGTATAATTTATGTATATGCGCGGTATGTGCGTATAGCAAAGAAAGTGTAGATTTTTTACTTTGTTATCGATGAATAAGAATACGAATGTATAGGATTTGCGTGGCGACCTACGCTCAAATAATTATTTATTCATTATTCTAATTATCTGTTATTACTCGATACCGTTACATTTTGTGCTCGCACGATTCCTCGTTTAATATTCGGTACTTTTAGATACTTGCAACGAATTTAATAAACATATTATAAGTAATTTCTCTTGATTTTATTCCATCATAAATTAAACTCGCAGACGCTTACTACGTTTTAATCGTAAACGTGTTGGATCAGACGTTATATAACGGAATGTTACATAAATTGAATCGGAACTGTAAACAACAAAACAAAAAATAAATTCCTTATCCCGTTACTTTAGGCGGATCAAGTTTCAATTCGTTGAATATTCGATAGTTTCAACTTACAGTCGAATGTTATATGGAATAGACGATTCTTGTATAACTGATAAAGTTTAAGATTCGTCAAAAAGTATAATTTGAAAACTACCATCTGTTAGAAGAAAATCTTCGTTTTTTTTTTTAAAAACTTGTAGTTATTACGAATTTTACTTTCTATCTCGATGAAGAAAAGGCAATCTTGCGTGAAATGCTCGGTACCGTTATTCTACTCGCGACTGTATGATATGTCCGAGCATTTGCAAGGAAAGGTACCAAGTCGTAGCAACACGACGAAATGAATATCTTTGAAATAAGCAACACGCAGCGCCATCACGCGTCGTTTAGTCATCGGGGAAGAGTTCCTTGTAGGTGAAAGACTTGGTGATCTTGTTTGCGACGTTCGTGAAAAGATCCGCCAACGATGTCTCCAGCACCGGTGTTATTTCATCAAGGATTAACGCGTTGTTGTTGTTCAACAACTCGTGGCTGGCAGCAGCTAATCGTACGTGAAAACAATTAAAAAAATATGTAATACTTTTATCGTATATCAATCTCCTATTACTATGACGCGTAGACTTTGCGAAATGTATTTATATAAATAAATAATTGAAATTTTTTTTTTTAATTTAGTGGCGCCATCAGTGGGAAAACGCCAAAGTTCATCGAGAAATAGTAGCAATTTTCAAACGATAGGTGGCACCATATCGTTCAGTAAATACCGACAATGAAATTTTATTTTTTTTTGTTATTATTTACAGAAAAAGAAACGTTCCGCTCGGTGTATTCTAATACTGCAGAGTTCCTAATGTCTTTACAAATGCACTATTGAACGTAATAAATTAAATAAACCAATAAAAAAATTGTCGATAATTCTACAACGCAGTGGCGCCATCCGTGGCTAAACGTCCAAGTTTGTCGAGAAATAGTACCTCATTTTAAACGCTAGATGGCGCCACTTCGCGCTAGAAATAGTGTAAATAAAATTTTGTTTATATCTTATTATTACTTGCGTATATACACGGTTTTATACCACGAAAAGCATAGAATCTAAGCTTTGCTCTATAAATAATGCAATGCTATCAACTAAATTAAATAATTAAAACATTGTCGGCAACCATTAATTGATAGCGCCATCTAGCGTTGAAAAACTAGTACTATTTCTCAAGAAGTTTGGGCGCTTTCCCACCGATGGCGCCACCCGTTACAGATTATCGAGAATTTTTTTCATCAGTTTGTTTACTTTATTACATTGAATAATACTCTCGCGAGGACAGTAGAAGCTTTGCATCATTAAAATACATCGAGCAAAACTTAAATTCTATGTAAATAGTAACAAAAAAGAATGAAACTTCGTTGTCGGTATTTACAAAGTCATAGGTCGCCATCTAGCGTTTGAAAATCGGTACTATTTCTCGACAAGCTTGGGCGTTTTGCCACAGATGGCGTCACTGCGTTCTATAATTATCGACAATTTTTTAAATTATCTTTTGGTATTTTATTACTTTTAATAACGAACTGAAAAGGACGTTAAACAAACACTGACTCACCTAAAACCGTATCTCCACCGAATAGATTACTCAAGTGCAAATTGGCCCTGCCAATTTTGATCATTATCTTCATCTTTTCGAAGTTGAGGTACGTATCGTTGTCTCTGAAGACTTTGCGGGCTCTTAAAACAACATCGGAGTCGTAGTTGTCTGAAAAAGTAAGTAAATGGAATGAATAAGAAATTAATTAGCCGTTACTCCAGTAGGATAGCGCAGGTCGGACAATATTTAAGCGCCGACTGCTGAAGCATTGTTTAAAAATCAAAAGAACTCCTGGGAACTCACGTATAGCGATCTTTGAACAGGATTTAGAGTTTATTATGTAGTATCTCTGTTTTTATAGCATATATCATCTGTGAGTAATTTTAAAGTATTACACACACGCCAGAATTAATCAATGTTTAATTAATTGAGATACGACAGAATGACTTTGAAGTATGTTAAATCATGGAATTCGTTTAAGAATGGTTGATTCTTGAAAAAAAAAAAAAAACATTGTTTGATCGATTGAATGTGTTGACATGCAAATTTCTGTTCAGCTGAGTAGCAAAAAATATGTATTTGCAAGTATAATGACGATTAGCGTTTCAACGTTTCTAAAATATCTTGCAACGTCATAAAATTCACTTCAACTCGGGATTATTACAATTTTAATGGAATAGATGTCTTTGGTCAAATATCTTACCAAAGCTCCCAGTCAGATCTCCGTCTCCCGTCAGTCTCAACAAGAGGATCCTCGCGTCTATCTGATACTTCCCTTGAAAGGTCAGTTTATCAAAGGTCACCTTGAAGGTGAATTTCACGTTCTCAACATCTGCTTTGAGGTTGTGAATTTTGAACAAGGATGGACCCGAAACCTACGTTCAAGACGCAACAAAATCAGTTTAGAAAAGGCTCCTTAAACAGTACTTGCGAAGGGATGATGATCTTTTAACTGGCAACAAATTTGTTTAAACGGGGGAGGGAGAGATGGTGGGGGGTGATACTAATCTGTTCTGAGGAAACTCGTACCATGCATGACCCCATCTCTACCACCGAACACTACGTCAGCATTCATTCAAGCTCCATCGTTCGAAGAGAAAGTGGAGTCGCTAATCCAAGAGTTGGCAAAACGTGTGATTTACCCGCAGGTCTGTGAGGTTTACGTCGAGCCTCGCCCCAGATGGTCCTCGAGACAGACGAATTTGCTTCAAATGTAAAGGTTCTATAGCTGGCGCATCCAGTTCTGGAATTCCAGCAGCTAGTTTGTCGCGAAGCTGGTCGATAGACCTTGCGATGCATCTGTTAATATCTGGATCGCTCTTCTTGCACGGTTTTATATAAGGCGCTGCATACAAAAACAATGTTGTTAATTGCACCTATCGTTCATCCATAAACGAAGCTTGCTTTTAATTGGAAAACAGAATCGAGGTAAACCGCATGTAAAAGAGCAGTCTATAGTATGAAGCGGAAATGCAACGTGTTATTTATGCATGTCGAGTATTGATATATCTACATCTTCCAGAAGACAAAAGAAGCTCGCGTCGTTTACGATAGTACCGCTGCTAGCAGGTTATGCAAATTAACTTGTTAAACTTTCAAATCACTTTTACTAACTAATTCGATGATATTGATAGTCTTTGGGAACTGGGATGTTTAGGGTGCACCGTATTCGAGACCTTGATTTCGTCCTGAGCGAAATTCAAGGGCACGAATGGATTCGCGTTGTAAAACCGAAAGTGATACCAAGGATTTTGCACCGTCTCGTTAGTATATCACCGATAGCTAGCCGAAATTTCGTAAGAATCATTAACGTCCACGTCTCCGTATGAGCGACCAGATCTCGGTACTTTAGTACTTGGTACTTTTTTCACGATACTCACGTAAAACGGCAGAGACCGCGCAAGCCAGAATCGCCGTTAGGCTAGAAAAAGAAGACAGAACGTTAATTGTTAATTGTCGTTTCTCAACGCAAAACTATCAACATTTCGATGACTAACTGACTAGACTAAAATTTCCATACCTCAGTATTTCTGATTAAAGTAATTGTAGTGATTTTAACAATGAAATTTATCGGGCGAAGAACGGGAAATGCACGATTTCACGAGTATAAGTATATTTGTAGTGCTCTTTAAACGAATAGTGCCAAGGCTGACTGCCAATGAAGCGATAAATATGTTTCCAATCTTTACATAACGCTAAACGCACTCACGATTGTGGTAATTTTTAAAAATCTCATTTTATTATGTTAATAACCGGATACGAATACTTTTGTCGTTCGTCTAACTTACTGGTTGGTGAATCACGGTGGGGCTAAGGTTGACAATGTGTTTAAAAATTGTAATTATTCGCTCGAAAAATGTATTAATCTGTTACGATGCATTCACTATTTATGATACAGTCTTGACCTGACTCGTCTCAACTATGCTGTTGCAACACCGATGCATTCCCTAACCGCGAAATGTTTGCCTGTGGTTTGCGAGACTTTCGTGTCTCGCAGACACTTCCGTGTTTTACGATTACTAATCATTTAGACGGTATCGATAACGAGTCGGGGCAAAACTGTATCAACCCTTGTGCACAGGAAAATGTTTTTGCTCGTAGCATTTGTAATTCAGAGAAGTATATAGTTAATGAATTTTGATTAAAATTTTTCATACAATCCTCGGGGTGTTGTGTAGAACTATGGCTTGTAAACGCACACCCTGATCGTACCGATGAAAACATTGAAACAACAATTCGACACTTTTCATTTTGCTCTGCAGAATCGTGCGACTCTGCGTTTCATTTTACACGGAACAATTACAATCACACGTGTCAACCTGGCATGCTTTACGCTAGAAAATTGATCCCAAAAGAAACTAAAAATCCCGCTGAAATCATCTAACAACGTCGACACATGTCTGGTAGTAAATCACGATTGACAAAAACGTATATCGTGTTAAATTCTTCCTTGTTTTCGACAACTATTGGGAGGAAGGAATCTATCTACTGAAAGTGGAGATCCGTAACTTGAGAAGAACAGAACGGAGAGTGAAACGACTGTTGCATACCAAACGCGAGCAAGAAGAGCGCACATCGCGGCCGATCGGAAGGTTCTTGGCGACTAACCGATCGAAAGACGGGGATGATATGTTAACCCGCGATCCCCCTAGCGAACAGCAGGGATTGCTTTATCGCATTCGGCATGCTGATTACCTCGTGCCACTTGTCGGTCATTGGTCCAGCCCCTCGCTAAGCAGAACTAGCGTCTGGAGAACGGTGCAGGTGTCGATCTACGTCGAGTTAAGCGACTGGCGAGTTTCACCCGCCTTCCCTGACGGATTTCCCGCCAGTACCAACCGACGCTTTGCATGGGGCTCGAAACAGAATAAAATTTTCATCGAGTTCTTTTTCTCTTCTGAATTTATTCAACTTACCGAGCACTTGGATAATCTTTCCTTGATGAACTTCAACGAATGACCATGATAATAAACACCTCGGAGTTCCGTGTCTCGTGAGAATTTCACGAAAGTAATGAGAATCGCACGTAACAGTGAGTAATTATTATCAAGCTACCGTCGAGGTAAAGAAGAGTATAGCAATCCTTAGATCGCAGAATGATTTCGTAGGCTGGCTCGTATTAGATCCGTATATTTAGCAAGAACGTGGAAAGTGTTTAAAGAAGATGACGGATAATTTTGCACAACTAATAGCGGACATTGTGTCATAGGCTAATTTATATCGCATCCACGTCGTTTGCAGCGTAAAAGATGTCCAAAGGTAACGGCAAATCGCAAAGCCACGGTGAATGAAAAACGATAAACGGAGAAAGTAAGTAAATGAAAGCTACTCGTAAACTAATTTATGTTAGGCGGATATTTTTTGCGACGTAACAGCCGAGCCAAAGGTAATGATGGACCTGTTCGGAAAAAAACTATTAAATTAGAAACAAACAACAATGAAAGTAAACGAATAAAAGGATAAAAGATGATGTGGCTTCGCGAAAACGTTAGTTATCGACGATCAGCCTATAATCTAGGCTTTTCATTTTCTATTCCGCGTACAGTTTCTTTTCTACTCTCTCAGTAATTAATATATGCGACGCTATCGTATCTTTTACAAGCAAGGTCTATTGATTTACGATGCCTAATAAGATTTTCACACGTAACCGCTCACAATCGCCGACTCTGGCAATAAAACACCTGCTTCCTAACCGTATTCGAGTTGTTACTCGTTCGTCTTTAATTAACGACTTTGCAAGTTTGTTCAAGTCTACGAACTTACGAGCAGTCATCGATAACGTCGTCATTGGCGTAACTATTCGACTTTGCGTAGAATCAATCGTTAATTATCGCCCTTTGAGAACTAGTTCTGGCAAGAGACTAGTTCACGCAAGAATTCGAACCCGATCGACGAATTGCGAAACACCGGGAGCAAACGAGACGACGAGCTCGCGGTGTTCGGTGCACTCGTACACGGCCGTGCCCGCGGCGGAGGCATTAGGTCAGTGGTTCTTTACCTTTTCAAACTCACGGGACAATTTCACTTAAAGATTCAACGGATCCGTTGCCAACATTCGCAACGCGGTGCAACGCGTCTTCGCGGCGCTGTGATTAAGAATCACTGGATTTGCCAAATCGCGGAGTTAATGTCAACAGCGTTACTGTAACTTTATGTAATTCCCGTGGACGTTAATAGCGTTGACCGACGAGAGATTTATGCAGCGGCTAAGCGAGCTTCGGAGAGGGATGGGAGAGAGAAAAATTGCTACCTATCCCGCTTTTAAGCAAATTCACTGATTTTGTCGCTTGAAAACGGGAATTACCGTGTTTCTAAACGAACGACGCCGACGGAACTTTGCATGGAATTTCGCGTTAAGCAATGAAACTAATAAATGGAAAAAACATTCGGATAATCAGCCCTCTCGGGTAATACAGTAATTTTAGAGAAAAGCGTAACGTCGGTTGAGTTCTACGTTTAATAAGTGAGTAGAAATTAACTAGATTTACCTGGAAAAATTCTTTACGGGTTCTTTGACAAAGTATCGTAGTTTCGAGTACGCAGATTTTAGGAAATTCTAGATAATCGGCAGCAGTCCAACGCGGAAATCAATTTTCATGTTTGACGGAGTGCCGAGAGTTGTCGGACGCTGGATAATCGGAGATCGCGATTAAAGGCGCGAAAAATGATAGACGTAGCGACGCAACGACCGCTAATTCGCACGATCCAGGGAGCCAGCATTCTTCCTTTTACTACGCCGTGAATTTGTTGCGAGTAAAAACTTGTTCACGCCAATTTCCGCAATTTTTACGAGACCGTTAAGAGTAGCGAAAGTTCCAAAGGCGTGATCAACGTCAGACCGACCCGAAATCCTACGATCCGGAACAAAATATGCGAGCAGACCTAATCACCGATCTAACATCGGCGAGCCACTTTGTGGAAAGATGTCGCAACATCAATGATCGACATTGCCTCGCGTCGAATACTGCACCGACGATTCTTGCCGGCTAACGTATACCGATGAAAATGATATTCACACACAGAAAATGATAGTCGATCAATCTCATTGCAAACTGTTGAAAGAACGAGAATGTTGTGACGGTAATTATACTTAATTTATTCCGATGGTGCCGATGATACTTTAATACAGAGCGAATCGTGTGCGTCACAGAAATTACACATAAGATCATCGTGTCTGCAGGACGTTCGATTAGTTTATGCAACACATGAAACCATTTTAATTTTCATCATATAATTATATATTACAACTTTATACGTGATGTCCAAATAATTTCTAATGACTCGTACATCTCGCGGACAAACATTTCCAGATCGGTAGAAAATCTATTCCCGTTTCATAATTGCTTCGATTATCTCATTAATTTTAATCGCGATTTTTGACTTTGACTCAAGTCCAATTATAAACAAGCAAATTTGTTAATTTCCTGAAACCAAACTTTGGTATCAATGATGTAATTCAATCTCGGAAGCAGATTCAATTAGCAACGAAAAACAGATTTAAACGATCTGACGCACCGACTGATTTCTCAGAATCTTCCCCTCCTTCTAAGCAACGCATCCACATTTCAGACTTGGTGGGAAAAACAGACGTTTATAGAGGAGTGAATATACATCCTGTATAGATGTTCAACAATCACAGACTCAAGCACAGGTGATTCAGTATTGTTCTTCCTGCAACACACTGTTATCCGCGAACGTATATATATGAGCTTACTTGATGACCAAGGATCAGTGTCGATCTGTGCACAATAGCGAGGATCGCATTAGTTTCGATTCCGTGAACGGAAAAAATCTCGGTCCAAGATGTTCACCAAGGAGCTGCTCTTCCTCGCGACAGTCGTGGGTTTCGCGACCGCCAAAGTCCGTGAGTAGTGCTTTGTCAAATAACTAGTTTTCTTTGCTTTAAACTAGTTATGAACTACATTTTCAAATTTGTTCCTTTCAAGAGAATTTTCTAATGATCGAAATAAATGATACGGTTGAACGGTACAATCCATCCAAGTTCTAACAATTTTTTATGTAAGTAACACGTAATATCTTTCCTGTTTGCCAATTCCGGATTTAGGAAAGCACCATATTTAAAACTCGAAATAATTTACGATTAAAACAAGGGATGATGCAAAACTAAACTCTGGAAAAATAGTTATGTTTGCGAAAACACGTTTTACTTAACTCTTTGAGGTCAACCTAGAGACGCTAATCAGATATTATACACACCCAAGTGTTATGGTATTCAGCCAAGTGTAATAATAAATATTTATAATCCAGCCGTGAATCTTGACGATAAAGGGAATTACGCGTTGGATATGTCTATGAATGACTATAAATGTCAGCAATAACGGTGCACAAGGTCGTGGAACACGGAAACTATCGAAAACCAGGATATCTTCTTAGAATGATTCTAAACGAAAGTGGAATCGCAAACAATCTACATCTACAATTTTTAATGAACATCTGTTTGCGATAATTAGTATTCCCGTCTCGAATTTATACGAATGATAAGGAATAGCACCGATACACGCTGAGATTTCTTCAAGTTGCCATTCGACAAAATATTAATATTAATAGTTGTTAATTTTTTCGATAAGATACTGTCATCGAATAGCAAGTTATAATTATCATCTAAATGCTTCCTTGTAGCTTACGAGAGTCAGCTGATAGCAGAGAACAATGAGTTGCTTCAAACATTTAAATCGTTGGTAAACAGAAAACACTAAATAACTCCAAAAAATTGTGATTAATATTTCGGTATTTACTATACTGAATTGCAAAACTATTAATAATATTAAATCCTAAGATTCTTGGAATTATAGGTACACACTCTATGTTTGTGTTGAACGTAATACAATGTACGACACTTGTTTTCATTGCAAATATTTCCTCGTGCCCAAAGATCAAGTAATAATTCTGAGATATGTACTACAAAATCAAACAACGTTATTCTGTATTGAACTAAAGTTATTTACTCTTACTCATCGGCCAGGCTAGCTTCTTTTGTGTTTCCTATGAAAACAGGTTCCTCCGTCATTCCATTAAACAGCTGGTTTTTGTACACGATTCCGTGTTTGTACAAACAGTTGTTCTTCTATAGGCCGAAAAAAGTAAAATTGAATTAATTTTTCAGCCGACTACATCCACGTATGTGGCGCCAAAAATCCACATATCGACGAGTGCATCATTAAAAGCGTGGAAGCTTTGGCTCCGAAACTTCGCAACGGAATCCCCGAATTCGACATTCCGCCTACGGATCCTTTGTCAATCGGTACGATAAAGCTCACGGACATGCCGAACATTCAAGCGACTGGATCGGACATCAAATTGCACGGACTCGACACTTATCATATAGACTTTCTCCACATGGACTTGGAGAAGCAGACTCTAGACGTTGTCCTCCGTTGCGACAAAATCCAGATGGATGCATCTTACAGCGTCACTGCTAAGATCTTGGTACCGATCTCCGGAGAAGGTCCGATTAATCTTCGTGCAAGTGAGTACAGCATCGATTAATTTCTTGTTCAAGGTGTGACAACTACTCTTGCAATTAGACTTAAGGTTCGTGGGCATAGGTAGTTACGTTATATGTTAATGTATATATAGGGGTAAGTTAATAAGTAGCGCTGATAGAGGAACGCAACGATCTGTTACAGACAACGTCCTAGTAAAAGTGCATATGAAGTACTCGATAATCGAACGAAACGGCAACAAATACATGTACTTCTCGTCGATGAAGACGCAGCTGGACGTAAAAGATTTTACAGCTAAATTCGAGGCATCAAACTTCGACAAAACTCTGCAAGAAGCAATTAGTCAGGCACTGGGTAGCAGTCATCAGGAAATCTTGGAGACCACCAAGCCTAGCTTGGAACGCTTTATTTCCGAGATGTGTCTCGATTCAGCCAACAAGATCTGCAAGCATTTCACTTTCGACGAGCTCTTCCCCGATCGAGAATAACCGAGATTGCAAAAAAGTATCTCGACGAGTATTCGTAGAAATACTTGAAGTTTTATCGACCGACCATCGAAATCACGTAAATCGTTTTTTTTATCAACGCTAGAAAACAATTCGTAATATTTTCAATTTTTGTTTCACAGTTCTCAATGGGAAAAACAAACCTGTTCGTTGTAAAGCAGGGAACGCAGAGTTTATGCTACACTTCTAAAAATTTTTCTTTTTATCCTTTTGTAACGAAATAAATTATAAAATTTTAAATAAAATATTATATATCGATACACGCACCATCGTTTGCACTAAATTTTTATTTATGTGTATTTATACAGAGTGCGATTCGATTCGATTCGATCTTGGAAATAGTTTATGTAGGAACATGAAATATTTTCGTACTGCAGTTAATACACTTAGCACGCGCGTCGAGAATGAAGATATTAGTATGCATTGCGATACGATAGAAGTGCTTGTAAAGTTTATATATTTTCGATTTTCATCAAAGCGAAGAAAAATGTCGTGCTGTGTGTTGTGCATCAAATCTTAATTTACATTCAACGCTTCATCTACCGAGAGCCTATTTAATTCCTGTTGGCAACAGTAAACTAACAGGTTAGTAACAGTATGGAGAAATCAGTATGGATAATGTAAAAAATCCTTTCCTAAGTTGACAGTTTCTAAATAGGTCGGTAGTTAAAGCGTTAAGCAGTGTATAACGCACGCAAATCTCGGTGCAGTATCATCGATGAACCAACAACTGACACTTGAATTCATCCAAGCTCTTGAGGTTTCCTACGCGAGCGGGAAAAGCAGTTCATAAGTGAATTGTCCGAGAATACTATTCGCGAGCTTGAGGAATGTGCTCGATATGGCGCTTTCGAGGGACGGTTGCAATTCTTTGATGAAGTCGTTGAAGTTACTGTTGATGGCCGCGTTGATAGCGTCGCCGAGGATAGGATCGCCACCGAAAAGATTCTGCAGCGTCAAATGTCCTTGACCTACCGAGATCTTCGTGTCGAAGTTTACAATTTTCACGTAATTATTCCCATCCTTTCGCTGCTCCACATTCGCCCGCAGCTTGACGAGTCCTTTGCAATCTGTGAAGTTTCCTGTCATCGGGCCTGATCCTTTGAGACGCAGCAGGATCACTTTTCCGTCAATGTCGTAATCGCTTTCGATGGAGAGGCTCTTGAAGTTCAGTTCGACCACGAAGCGTAACGTGTCCAAATTGGCTCTGCGGAAAAAACGAAAAATCGCTCGTAAATTACGTATACGCTGCGATTAGGCCTGATAAATCTCGAGTAGTGTTACTAGTTTGAGGTAAAGTTAAATGGCATTCGAATTAAGGATTCCATAAAAAGTCTGATTAAAACTAATGGCCAGTCAACAGAGCCATTTTTCTAATTGGTATTGGCTAATTGGTCTTTCTCGCATCTCGTCTCTAACCCTGTCACACTGTTTACTTACGACTTCGCATTCTCTATCGGTCACGTCATTTTTTGTCCTCCTTTCTCAGTCCCCCTTGATCTCCCTAATTGACTATCACGACGTACTTATCTTTCCTCCCTGTGTTCAAAGTATCCCAGACACTTGTTTTCTTTTCTCCTATTCCTCGCATAAATTTCAGTTATTCATTTCGTAACAGCCCTAGTCGTCGGATAAAAAGTTCCATTGTACGTCCGGTGTATCGTATTTCTCGTCTACGATACTACAGATGACCGCTTCTTTTTATAATTCGTGCGTCGCGCGTGCCATACCGATCGTTTCCAGCTCGTATTTCAGAAGTTCGTGTCACGGTCATTATCTACCTGGCGTGCACACGGAATACAAACGGTCGAGACCTCTTCTACTATCGTCGTTATTTCACTTATTTATGATTCGGCGGAGAATCAATCACCGCGGTGTCGTTTGCGCTACTTCATCCGGAATACAATCACATGTATCGCCATAGTTGCTAACGATACAATCTGCATAATTCGATAGGCTCTCTACGAACCATTCTCCTACAACTTTTTCTTATTTGGAGGCGAATTTTATATTGACGTCAATTTTATGCAAAGTAATGCATTGTTCGACATTTACAAATTCAAAGGTATTAAGCCTGTTTTCTCATGAATATTTATTTTCCTAATCAACGATCGAAAGACATCTCCATCTGGAAAAAAAATCTCGGAACAGGATTCTCGAGCACAATAACTAATCCGTATCTGACGCGATCGGATTGCTTTTTTTTTCGACTTTTCTTCTTCAATTCTTCAGATTCAGATAAGCTACAACTTTTTCTGTGGGTACACGGTACAACAAACACCGGACAACTGTCTGCAGACCAATGTGACCAGGACGTTCTTCTTCTTCTTTTTTTTTTTTTTTTTTTTTTTTTTTTTAATATTAATAAGGCTATATTTTACTTTACTCGCCAATAAATAAATGGGAAATGTACGACTTTTTGACCCCGGGAGCTGTACACTCAGCCTTCTTCTGGAACAGTGTTTCTTGATGACAACTGCTGCACTCGACGAGAATTGTAATTTCAGTGTAACCTTCGGGAAAGGGAGGGCATTGATTTTGCGTTTAAATTTAGTCGGTGATTCGTAGTTGGCTCGATCGTCCTTGTCTTACCCTTCACTTTCGTGAAGGTTCTTGAACACTGAACGTCTTCTTCGAGTCTAAATAGCATTTTTAGACGGATCGTTGTACAAATTACCGTCCGTTTAATTTAACATACGAGCGTATTTAGTTACACTTTATCACAGAACATACGGTTTGTTTACAGTTTCGTTCTCTCAACATCAGAATGTCAAATGTTACAATTTAATTTATTCGCTGCTATACAGAGAGCTACCTTTTTCCATAATAAGCATTTGTAAACTTATTTAATTGTAATAAAACTTACTTCAATCTGGAGACGGTGAAGTTACTGGCGCCGTAGACGCGAACGTTCCTCAACTTCAGTTTAATAGTGTTTCCCGGAGCAGCCACCAACTCGTTCAACAATAAAGGCTCCAAAGAAGGTATATTGTAATCCGCAAGCCCATTTATTAAGTACGGTCTGAAGTTCTCCACGCTGCTCTTGATACAGTTGCTCAGATTAGGATCGTTCCTCTTACAAACATGAAGGAACTCGGCTGTAACGTCATCACATTCATTGTTATGAATTAAAATAGGCCTGTTGAATGGCGTGAATCATTCAAAATAATTATTCATTCGTAGTTTCCATAAAACGTAGTTATTATCGAGAAATTCTCAATGATGCAGACATAAATGCTTACATATCGCCAGATTTGTAATTATGTATTAACAGTTACTCAATATCACATCCGCAACTAAATCTCCATTTTCGGATGAAATTGAAGTACAAAATAAACGAAGAAACGTGTAAAAATGTCACTTACGCAAATCACGAGCAGATGCAACGTTGAAAATCGTCGCGACGACTAATCCTGTGAGAATGATCTTCATCATTTCTTCTCGATAAAGCTGGCGGGAGAATCAAAACTGACCGAAAATCACGAATGAAGATACTTGGATCGCGAAGCAGGAAGAAATCGTCAGGGCTGTCACCCGCGAATGATCAGGTGGCTGGTGTAGAAATGGATAATGCAGAGGCCAGCCCCAAGTCCTTATAGTTCTTCATCTCTCCCCTCTCTGGTCAATGTTCTTCATTCGACGATACCAGCCACACCGTCTAGGTCTGCCAGATCACTGTGAAGGATCAAATCTTGAATTCTGAGCATGTGATCGTGTCGCATGCCCCACACCAACGTTCTTGGCCGTTCACTGTGTAAGTACGTGTTTGCACGCGCGCGTTCTATGATAGCTTTAAACAGAAACTTCATATATCCTACAAAAGATAAGCAAGTTTTCATCCTTTATTTGTTCGATAAAAATTATAGTTTGTTTTATAGTATAAAATACTAAGATTAACCAGTGACAGAGAAATTGTAAGCAATATCAAAGGACAAAGGAATAACGTTACTGGCTGGCGAGCGTTGTAAAATTCAACGACGAAAATTTCGTGGAACTAGAGGTCGAGGGAAACCCGGTTCGTGAGAATCCCTTCGTCTCTCTCGGTCACGTTGTCAAACAGGAAGAATCGTTTCTTCCATCTAATATTCCAGCTGCGTATCGTCTTTCCACCAATGTTCCTCCATCTTCTTCCTTTATATATTTTTTGCTCCGAAGAAGAGGACGCGAGCAAACGAAAAACCAGCAAACGCGTCATCGCTGTTCGCGATACTCGACGATGTCGAAGGACAGGGTCAAGGTACCGAACCTCTCCACTCTTTGTACTTGGTTAGTGTGGGTGACTGCCGCTTTCAGGTATAGAAACGGCTTTTGCACGCGTCCACGGCGCGGCGCGTGTGGAACGTTTCCATAATCGAAAATTATGTGTAATAGTCAGCACAAACCATAAACTTTACCGTATTTTATAATCTGAATCTGATAACGATAAAAAGAGGTTTAGCTTTGATTTCTTGTTGATTATTATTACAGCATGTGCATGACGTTCTTGTACTAATTATTCCGTCGAATAATGGTAAACCAATTGTTACGTCGGTCAATGGTATGTTATTGGTTTGAATTGGGTAAACCACTGTGATACTTTTGAAAGACTAACAACGCTCTTCGGTAATTTATTTAAATCAGAATTTACGACATTGCGCGTGTCCCTTATTTCACGTGACATGGTTACACGGCTGCACATTGCACGGGATGGTAGTTTGGTAGTACCCTTCGATTTTCTATGTGCATATATTAAAATACGTCAGCGAATTCACATGTTTATATGCGTTGATACGCGTATAAACACGTGACATATGACATCGCTAATCGAACTGTACGTAATGTGAAATAGGGGGTTCTAATTTGAATGGAGCACATGAACCTCGTTACTTAACTAATTCTGCACCGTCATCCAGCTATTCATCAATTTTGCAAATGGATCGTAATTCTCAATGTAAGATCTTGGAAGAAAATACGCGAAATGCCAGCGACATGTAGGGTAATTAAGCGCCCCGAGGTTGAAGTTTCCGGAAACGTGTAATCGTTTACGATCACCCATCGAACGACGTTCGTACATTCAACCGTTGCACACTGGCAGACGTCGTTTGTTAAATTACACAAGTCACAAAACAGATCACATAATGTAGCTATTATTGCATAACGAAGCCGCAAGAAGAGACCGAACGCTACGTGAAAGGCAACAAAAGTAGATTTATTGGGTGTAGTATCACCTAGATTATATTCAATACATCTTTGAATCTGTTGGAAAATAACCATGGTATACGTGTATGTACATATTTGTATATAGATATATAAAAGTAGAAGCTCAATATATATAAATATAATTTATGACGTTATTTGTATAAAAGTTGAACAAATGATATCTACATGATTACAAGATTAAGAATAGCATCCGTTCGGTAACATTAAATGAATAATTTCTAACACCAGAACTTAATTAAAAATCACGCGGTACGTTTCGTCCAAGATACAATGTTCTGTATAAATTGAAGAGCAAAAAACTGAGGAAAGTTATAATAGTCGAGAACTCCATTTTTCAGAGACATATTTATAAAAACATCGAGTAACAATTTTCGCAATTATCATAACTTGCCTTTTTTTCAGTCTTCAATTAGTCATAATGGTGCAACGAATAGGTACACTCGGAAAAACTAAAATAAATGTTCATTCAACGATAGATGTAGTAACTTGAAAATTACAAATCCAACATTCGACTCTTATCACGCATACTTCTCGAATCTCATCGAATTAAATACATTTTAATGCTTACTTATCGACGATAAACTTATCTAAACAAAAATGGCGGCGAGCTGTTACTATTTTAATGATTTATGCGTCTATCAACCCTTTGTTCTTTCGTATTCGACGTTACTGCAATTTCTACTTTGTCAAAGCAATTTCTATTAATGAAAACGAATTGTTAAATCTCCCTGTTTCAGAGAACGCAACGTAAAAAAAAATGAATGCGAATCGTTCTTAAAACTACCAGAGCACAGGGGGCAATTCTGATCGTCTCAATCCACGATCCAAGCGTCGTATGGTACTTGAGCGAAGATCTTTTCGACGAAGGTCGTCATAACTTGAACCAATTTCCGTCTAAGATCCGGCTTCATCTCCTTAAGTAATTCCTGACTATTAGTATTAATGAACAAATTCAGCGCAGCAACTGGAAATGAAAAAGCGTCGTTAGGTTAAATTGATCGATTGTCTCATAAATATTACGAAAATTGTTATCGTACTAGAACGATCCATAAAAAACAATACTTTATATGCGAAAAGTAATAAACTAGGAAATAAATTTAGGGTAGACGAGGTCTTGAATAATGCTTGCATAATTTGATTATTCGTCAATTAATATACAGAGATTTTAGACAAAGTTCACTTACGTATAATGGCGTTGCTATCGCGAACGTTTTCAACGCCCATTCTAATGTTCTGTACGCTAAAATCCATCTTAAGTTGCTGCAGCCTCAAGTAACGACGACCCTGAACTAAGAAGGGCTTCGCTCTGATGAAGACTTTGGCCTTGACGCCCTCTGTAATTAGATAGATTTTCAAATAAATGAAAAGTAATTTGAACTGCGAGTGTTGGTAAACTACGATGCAAAGCGCGTTGCATACTACAAGGCGAAGTTATTAGAGGTCAATGATACTATCTCCGTGAAATCAAGTACAGTTCCTCTAAAGACGACGGCGACGTTGACGTAAACATAAGACCGTTATAAGACCTTGGACTTTCACACTTACTTAAGCTCTTCAAGATACCGACTCGTCTCTTAACGAACAAGTACTTTTTTGTGTTTTCAAGTTTAATTTAATATTGTTTAGTCATCGTTAATTCTTGATAATTTTAATGCTTTTAATTGTATAGGTTCTATCGTCCAGCGGTCTGTTTCGCCGTAGTATCGGTAAGAGCAACGCAAAAACTTTTACAAACAAATTTGCATTGCGTTGGCGGTGAAAGTTGGCGACGCTCTTGACTTTTACCTAAGTATTTTCACTCGGTCGGCAATGTTTTAGTACAACGTTCGACTATCATTCGAATCATAAATGGCAGACCTTTGTTCACGGTACCTGACCTCGTATCGCATTTCAGGTACAACTAATTTCTACTATACTTAACGATTAACCCGATAGCACGTTAACTACGTTTCAGTAGAAACCGCAACTTTTACTGGCAATCATTATGCTCTGCATCTGGCCTATTTATGATAGTAATCTTCTGTAGTGGACTGGTACAATCATACTCGATGTCGTGACTAACTTGACTGTAACTAATTTACTATTCTCGACTTTCACTGACTAGTCCGACGCTCTGATATCATATAAATCTAACACCTGTGTCACTTTGAAGTAATTTACGTTCTTACAGTCAGATGAAACTATGTAGTTCTCATTTCTTACCGTATTCGCCCCAATAGTCGCCAGCACCACTGGCTTTCACCAGAATTAAAGTACCGCTGGATCTGTATTTCGCCGCTGCTCTGATTCTAGGAATACTCAGAGCCAACTGCAACTGTACCTCGTCGTCGGTTAACCTAGCCCTCAGACCGGTTACTCGCAACGACGAAACCCCTTTCGCAGCCACATCTTTGAATTGCGCTCTGTAACCATCGGGTCCACCTCCGAGTGCGATGTGTAGTTCGTCCAGGATAATAGGTTCAACCTCTGGATACCCCAACTGAGGCAACCCTACAAACATCGCCAACAAATAGATAGTATTAAATTAGAGTAACGTTGTAGTCAGGTTTCGATAACGAAACAAATGTTAAGCTTGCACGTCGCAGCGTGGTTGTACAAGAATACTGTATCACGTATAGCGAAAAGATCGAGACGAACGAGGAGCAATTCGAGTCGTTGAACGGAAGCTAGCCCTTCAGCCTTAAATCCGTTCGATGTTTTATTCAAGGTGCGTCAGAGCCGCGAACCTATGCCATCAGACTCTCGTGTGTAGAGTGCGAGGAATGTAGGACACTGGGTGACCATTCGAATACACCGTTATAACCTGCTTCTTTGCCGCGAACTTCTTTTTCCTCCTTTTTTTTTTTCCAACGGCACCACGTGGTCCCTGCGATCGGTAATTCTCGACTTTCGACTTCCGTATTTTTCCCTTGGTGACACGCGACGGGTTTTACACTGGAATCCCACTTTTGGAAAACGGAACTACGGCTTTCAGAGAAACTTTGTATATCACCGACGAGATTTCGAAGTTGCCGAGTGGAAGTTACTGTCGCGGAACTTTCTTTGACCGTCGAATTCCAAGTATCGAAGCAATAATTTGACCTAGTAGTAGTAAACGTTTTCGATCCATCAAGTTTCGGTCTCGTTCAAATTTGTACAACTATTACATTCATTTTCTATTCCCACATCCCCAATTAGAAGTTTCTAAATATAATACATATATTTTCTTATCCAAAAAGTGACCGATAATCTATACATGTACATAGCACACAGCTACGTTACTCGTTTAGTTCTGCCGAGGATAAAACGGTTGCTTGCTCGACCATGAAAGTCGTCGTTTTATTCTCAAGAGCTCACAAGATCTTGTAGCGAGAAAATTTCTTACCGTGACGGAAGTGTT